GAACATGACCAGGAAGCCCCCCATCCTCCATAGGCAGGGGGACGGGGAAGACACATGTGGCTCCCACCTGCTTCTCTGACCAGGGCTGGGGTGGCTGTGGGGGCAGTGAACACTGTACCGTCAGATCCCTACACTGCTCTATTTGCCTCCCAGTCGCTCGGCTGGCTGGTGGCCATTCATCACAGCTTCTTCCCCAAGTCTTCCCAGTCGCAGCTGGCCTGCCTGTCCCAGCAGCTGGCAGCCGGCACTGTCTCGGCGCTGCCTTGCTGAGGACTCATCGCTTTGCGGGTCCCGAGCTTCAGGCAAGCTCACCGCTGACGTGTGGCAACAGGCTGCTCTGGGCCCCCGGCACAGCCAGGCCTACTGCTTCACTGTGCCAGGTCCTTGCCTGGGAGGGCAGGGACATCCCGGAACCCTGGGCAGGGTGGAGTAGCAAGACTAGCCTCCTGGCCTCCAGGCGGCCTCTAAACTTCACTCCCTAAAACCATTTCCCAGACAAGGCTCTGGAGGTCAGTGCTGGGCGGGCAGGCAGGCAGGCAGGCAGACAGACAGACAGACAGAGACACATACACACACACACCATGGTGCTGGAACAGAGGAAGTATGGGATCCCACATAAGACAAAAAAGGACAAACACTTCTAAAAAAAATTAAAGTCGCAGGTCAGGAGAACTAGAACGCCATGAGAGAAATCTCTGTAGGGTCGTAGTTCAAAGGCAATTGCACATGAAGGGGGCTGGGCTCTCCACTAAGCTGGGGGAAATTCTGGAGCTCCCACAGGAGCCCCCAGGTAGCCCCTAGGGGTGGTTTCCATGGTGTTGGACCCATCCCGCTGGTGCCAGAAGCAGCAGAAGTGGCAGATCCTGGGGTGGCCCGGTCACCTGTTAGAGCTCTTCAAAGAAGGCCACTCGAGACTTGGCACTCTGCAAAGTGAGCTGTAAGAGAGCAGAGAAGAAGTGAAAGGGGCAGTGTGTTTCTGTCCTTTTATGTGGGATCCCTTCCTGCTGCACGGACTAACCTCAAAGGTGGTCTGGAGTGACGGGGAGGCCTGTTCAAGGAGACGTTCAAGAGGCTGGTGGTCAAGTTCAAATAGGATTCCAGACTTGCCCCAGCTTTCAAATTAGGTGACAAAGGAGGACATGCCAGGAGGCATGGATGGTGGGCAGAAGCCATGTTAGCAAGAAAATGTCATCAGCATTGCCATTTCATAGAAGATAAGGGCCCCTAGATATTTTACCAGATTCTCATATATTCTTGTCTACAAAAGACTGAGACGTCACCTCTGTGGTATCTACAGCAACACCAGCCTGAGATTCTTTATCATTTCTGGACCAGGAAGACCCAGCTCAGCAGGGCAAACCTCTCAGTCCTAACTCCCAGGTAAGGCAGGCCCGGGTTAGACAAGGAAGGGCTTGTCCCTTCTGCTCCTAGTGGCCTCAAAGCAGACCTACTTTGAGGAGCTGAGAGGGATGTCTCCTGATGAGCACGGAGGCAGCAGTTTCCCCATGTGGGACAGGCAGGGGGGACAGTGTATATGGGCAGCATTCTGGCCATCAACTGTCAGGCCTTCCCAGGAAGAACACTGCCCAAGAAGAATGGTGTCAGAGAAGCTCAGAAGGGGAGAGGTGGATTAGGGGCCCCACACTGAGCATGGTAGAGTTTGTGCTTCCTGAGTCCCTGACTCTGAGGCCACTTGGTAGCCTTTTCCCCAAACAGAAGGATCTGGCACAAGTGTCTTCCTGATGCCCTGTTCTGCTCCTGAAATAGACCCACTGGGGCAAGACGGTGCATTCTAGATTTAGCTCCAGAACTTTCCATAGGAGAGATGGCAAAGGGACAGCAGGGAGTCCAGCTTCATATCCCCAAAACATTTAGTTTAGTGCGTGGCATTGGGTAGGAGCGCAGAGCATGTTGAGTGAATGATGTGAATCGTAATGACAGCTGAGTGGCAAGATAGGGGGAAGGCAGGAGCTCCACAAGGAGCTGAGAAAGAACCAGGCGAACCCGCTCCACCCTCAGCTCTTTGGGGGGCCCCAGGGAACACCCTTAACCTCTGAGTCTCTCTACTCGGAAGTAAGCCATGGGGCAGGCTAGCTGGTCATGCCCTTCTCACCCTCCAACCTCAGGCCGTCTCCAAATCTGAAGAGCCCTCAGTCTTACCCAGGGCTCTACAAAGGGCACAGGAGGGTGACTCCAAACCAACCACTTCACCATCAAAAGACAGGCAGCATTAGAGCTCAAAATGAGACAGCTTGAGAGCCGACTCTTTAAATCCTGCCAAATCTTTTGGCCTTGAAGTTCCCGACTAACAAGCGGAATGCAGGGAGGCATCTGAGCCGTTTCCTTCAGTGGAACCAATTCCAGAAGCCCTTTGGAAGCCCAGTTCTGATGGGAATGGAGACAGTTTTTCTTTGCTGAAATGGAACTCACTCCAGAAGGGAGCTGCGTGTGGACGGGCTTCTCCCTCAGTGCCATCAGAGAAGGGCCAGCAATTGTGTGCCCCGTGATAATGGGAACCAGGAGGGTAACCAGAAAGACAGATTCAATTGCCAGAGAACTTCTGGGACAAAACCCCTCTCAGCTCAGGGTTGGAATCAAATGGTGTGTACCCACATTTCCACTCTGGCTTCCCCCACACTTCTGAGAAGACCTCAGAAGGCTCCTTAGAGAGGCCCTGTAGGGGACAAAGCCATGCTCACAGCCACTTTGAGTCAAACATAAGCACGGTTGACCCAAGGGCCATGTGGCCCATTGACCAGCTGGGTGGCCCTGGGTGGGTCACTGAATCCCTCTGGCCTCAGTTCCCAGCACATGCAGGGTGTGGCAGGCCCTTCCTCACAGGGGACCTGCAGGGAACTGGGAAACGCTTGTGAAGCTCTCAGCGCCACTCCTGGCACGTGCTGAGAGCCTGGCAGCTGTTATTACTAATAGCAGCATCACGTTCCTTCCCTCCCCCAGCGCTGGCTCCTCTCCTCCCGGGGGCAGCAGAGCAGAGTTCTTGTCAGGAAGGGCTGCAGGCAAAGGCAGGGTCGTGGCCTCTGAGACAGAGCAAGCGCTGCCCCAGAGGCCTGGCTACTTCCCCAGGCAGGGAGCCCAGGCTGTGGGGGCCTCCGAGAGCCTCCTGCCCGTTTGCACAATGCTGGCTCCAAGAATTCCTGGATCCTCTACCAGAGAGTGTGCTGGCTGTCCCCTTGAGGTGCCAGGGGAGGGTTTTGGCAGCGCTGGCAGCGCCAGATTCCAGTTACTCAAGCATGTGCTTGTTAGGAGGCTAAGCGCTCTTTGGTGGGCGGGCCACTTCCCAATCAGTGTCCACCCCTGCTGCAGGGCAGGGCAGGGCAGGGCTCAGCCCACCTCTTCTCTTGCCAGATCAAGAATTTGTCTCCAGCTTCACCGAAAGGAAAGGCTTGCAGTAAAGTTGATATTCTGACCATGCAAGAGAGAGAGAGGGCATCACAGTTGTCCAAAAGGTCCTGAGGCTGTTAGGCTCACTGGCCAGAGGTGGCTCAGGCATGGCATCATGGGTCACTGAGGGTGGCAGACGGAGGGCAAGGGGAGTCTCCCGTGGTTGCCACCCACAGGCAGACCTGGCTGCTGCAGCCCCCATCTTCCAAGTTCACACTACAGTTCTGGCAATTTCCAATTTCACTAGGAACCCCAACATCTGAGGAATTCATAATACGTGCTTACTCCTCAGGGCTAGGAACCCTTCCAGGCCCCACCATGGCCTCTGCCTAGTTCCCCTCACAGCATTCTTCATCTTAGACATCAAATGCCCTCTTCCTGGCAGGACCAGGGGGGCACAGGGGGAGGCAGCAGCGACATGAGGTTCTGTGTGGAAAGGCTTTGGGCCTCTTTCCTCCAGATAACTCAGGAGCCCCTTCCCTCCCACCACTGCCCACTGCTTCTGCCAACTGTGCTCCCTGCAGGGCACTCCCCTCACCTGTGGGAGCCTTTGCCACTGTAGGGTCTGTTCTGGAAAGCTTACTGTCACATTTACAGCAGCGTTGCAGCAGAAGCATAAAAGAGAAGGCAAAGACTCAGAGAAAGTGGCACAAAACAAACTTTGGGTCTTCTTCTTCCACTCAAAAAAACCAGCTAAAAAAAAGCTTCTTGGTTTCCCTGTGGCTCTTGCACTCCAAGATTCACCAGCCCACGGCGATACTTAGTCTGTCTTACTGCCTGGTGGCCAGCCTGGCTGTCTCTGCACAACACAGCAACATCTCTGCTTGACAGAGCCACAAGACACCATGGAGATGATCCTGCGAAGGCCCTCGCCTTGTCCTATGTTGCACTGTGAGTTGAGAACTGAAGAAGCCCCATGAGTCCCACTTGTCACCAGAATTTCAAGAAAAGATGTTTGTGCTCCCTTTGGCAACACAGCAATAGCTTGCCTGTTCCCAGCCTTGCCTGCTGGGGGGAAGTCTCCAGGCAGAAGTGGGCTCTACGTGCACACTGCAGTAGAGGTCACCCAGAAGAGGTCTTTGCATTTCAGCAATTAGGGAAAAGATCGACCTCAGCTTACGGATACACAACCAGGATCCAGTTGACAATGGCTGCATCCATGGGGCCGCCCGGTCTTATGGACCTCCTTCGACTCCTTCTGAGAAGTGAGCAGAGCTCTGCTGCACATGAATGGTGACCATGTCCTCCCAGCACTGTCCTTCAGAATTCATAGTCAAATCCAACCACGGGAGGCCTAGCAGTCAAACCCCGCTCCTTTGGTAAGACTGTAAACCACGAGGATCCTGCTTAAAGTCTCCAACCCAAAGTGCTCTTGCCAGTTTCCTAAAGATGACTAAAAGAACACCAAATCTCTCACCAGGCCCCAGGCTGACCTGCTGCTCTCTTCCAGCTGTCTCTTCACATCGGATTAGAATCAGCCATGTGAATAACACAGGAGGAATTAAGTCCTCTCTTGACGGAACCAGTTGTTCAAGTCTGTCACTAATCCAAGTCCATTCTGAAGAGAATGACTTCCTTTCCTTTGTGGCAGATCTATAGGGCTTTTTTTTTTTTTTTTTAAATCTTATGGGGTCTCTGATCCACCTGCGAGGCTGGCTCTTACCTCCTGCCCAGCATCCACAGACTTGACCCTGTCACAATCACCTTTCATCCTACCTTCTGCTCCATCAAACAACCAGTTGTTTGTGACAGCTGCCAAGCTGTGGAAGAATAGGAAAGGAAGCCACTCAGCAGATCAAGGCCTCCTTTTGTTCCACAAACTATGTGATATGACAAAAATGGCCCTTACACCCAATTTAAACCAGTTCAGATTCAGGAGACAAATCTGTCTCCTTGTAAGACAGGAGGCTGGCTCCTCCCAGCCCTAGAAGAGGACCTGGTCGCCAGCTGGGTCTCCTTAACCCAGGCATGCAATCTGATGCAGCCGGCTCTTGCTCACTGCTATGTGACAGCAGCCCATCAAGATGCTCTGGAGAAATGTCCCCAGGGCCTGGAGACAGCAAGCCTGGAAGGTATCTGTGACAAGCACTCTCACCTTCTTGGTGGCCCACGTGGAAGCACAGTTCCTTAAAAATCGCTCCTAAGAGTGCCCCCTGCTGGAGACCCACAGTGCTGGCGGGCTGCCAATTCCTCTAGTTCTCCTCTAAAAGTCCTTTTAGGGGACTGTTTCCCAAAGTGATGGGAGGGTAACTAAATGTATTCCGGCACGGAGCCTGCATCGGCAAGGCTGCTTGATTAAGAATGAATTACACTTTCATCAGCACAGAGAGAAAATTGATTCACAAGGCCGCATTGTGATAATCTTGTTCCTAAAGCAAAAGGGGGTGGAGGAGTGGGTAGGACAGAGAGCCACTTGGGCTATCAGTAGTGGAGAAAGGAAGCTCTACATTTAAGCTGGAAGAACAAAACTAATCAGAGTTCCAGGATTCCTTCAACTAGTCTCTGGGGGCCTCGCCTCAATCCACTCATCCCAAGGGGGGGGGGGTAAGGAAGGGGGAGGGGGCTATCTAATTCATCTTAAACAATAATGCCAATAGCACTGAACCCATTTTAGATACTAACCTAATAACTCCTGGCACGAAGACTCTGCTTGTCCCATAAAAATGCAGTGAAATTGAAATGCAGGCTCTAAAATCATGTTATACTTCCTCTCCGCCACTACATATTAAAAATGAAGGAGCAAGGGACAGCGAAGATACAAAAGGACATGCAGATTGTTTGGCATAAGGATCCACAGGGGGGAAGCAGACTCTGGAGCAGAAAGGTGGCAGCCACATCTAGGAGCAGGAAATTCCAATCTAGTCTTTGGTTTGGGGTGTGGTAAGCAGTCCCCCTTCTAAACTGGAGCCAAAGAGGGGTAGGGCTGCTGAAGGGGGTTGCTGCTATAAAGTGGCCAGATGAAGCTCTTCTGCAGTCTTGCTAGGGATGGCTTGCACCCAAATGCCATCTGGTGATGAGCACAGGGACAGGGCTGTCTGCACGCTTATTTCTAAACAGGGGTGGAATGAAAAGCCACGTCCATTCCAACAAACAAATCCAATTTGGTATTAGCTCTAAAAAGAAATGTTCCCAGGAAAACCCAGGGGGCCCTATTGTGTATTAATCCTTCAGGGACCTAAGGCAGCAGAAAGATGTCTAGAAATGTGTCTGTCCGTGTCTTCAGCTGCCACTGTGAGGCTGGTAGGGCCTTTTGCTACTTTGTTCTTCCATCTGACAAATGGACTAATAGGCTTGATTCACCTCACTGGGCAGGTGGAGGCTAAATGGTGTCTACTGAGCTCTGAGAGCAAGAGCCTTAGGAAAGAGGTCCAGAAATACTCATGTCACTTTTTTTTTTTTTTTAACATTTATTTATTTTTTCTTAGTTCTCGGCGGACACAACATCTTTGTTGGTATGTGGTGCTGCTGAGGATCGAACCCGGGCCGCACGCATGCTAGGCGAGCGCGCTACCGCTTGAGCCACATCCCCAGCCCCCTCATGTCACTTTTAAATTGCCAATCTCGAAAGAGAAATCATGGCAAGGCTCATAAGAATGGAACCTCGAGCCAGCAGAATGAGTTTGCATCCCGGCTCTTCCCTCCCACTGTTGCAGCAACAAATCAGATGCCCGTGGAGAGCCGCACTGAAACATATCTTCAGAGCCCAAGGGCCAAATGGGATGTTTTACTGCATCAAATAAGGCCCAATAATGGCCTCAGGCACTTCCAAATAGTCATAAAATATCCTAGGCCAGCAAGGCAGTTTGTAGGCTCAACACCTCCTAAAGAACAACTGCTTGACTGGGTAAAGCATCTTGACCAAAACCAGGCTTGGATTGACATCCTTTGGAAAAGAGGCCAATAGAATCCGCTATTGAGATGGGTGCAGTGGTGCACGCTTGTAATTCCAGGAGCACAAGTTCAAGGTCTCAGCCACTTACTTAGACCCTGTCTTAAAATAAAAAATAAAACGAGCTGGGGATGTAGTTTCATGGTAGAGTGCCCCAGGGCTCAATCCCCAGTATTGCATGCATATGTACACACACACACACACACACACACACACACACTTTTCTCTTGAGAGTGTTACCAGAAACAAGCAAGAAAACTGTGTACATGTTTTTAGGAATGGCCTTCAGGGACCGGCCCACAGTGTCACATCTAGGAGGAGCCCTCCTAACATCAGCCAATGACTCCTAATGCCTTCCATGTGCTCCTACAGAGCCGGGAGCTGAGTCTGGGTGGCCACTGTAATTTTTTCTGGGTGTGCAATGCCCACAACTTGCTCTCACCCCAGTCCACACTCCTCTTTCTTCCCTCCTCCTTTGAACACAACAACAAAGGGAAGGTTCTGGAACTGAGAAGCCAGTTTGCTGCCTTTTGTGTCAGAGCCAAGGATGCTCTACCAGACAAGATGCCCAGTTCCTAATGCAGTGGCCTACAGGGTCATAAGGACGGCTGGACATAGGAACCACGTATTAAACATGAATTACTTGGCATCCATCTTTGAGGCTGGTGATGTACACCAGGGGTCACTAGGGAGGCTCTGGCTGCTTGTTTTAATTGTGGGAGATGCCTTTCACGCATATTCACTCTCTCCCTGTGATTTATCACTTCCCTGAGTGTCTGGAGTGTTCTACTTCACTTCGCCAGCCCTGAATCTCCAAGGGGATTCAGCAGAAATTGAAGATGACATTGGACTTTTATGTCTTTCTGATCAAGGAGTGGGAGCTGAGCTTCCCATGAATGTCAAGCCTCCTCTGGTTCCGTCTCTTCCCTCAGTGGGAACCATAGCTGGACCTAGATGATCTGATTAGAAAGCTAATAAAATAAGCTTTCTAAGCCTCACAACCCTCATAACTTCTCATCTGTTGATTTCTTTGAAATCCTCTGCTCCATTTGAGACCATGGACACAAAAATTATCACTTGTTTGCTGGCACCTTGGGCCAGCCCAGGACCAAGAGACTGAAACCAGTCTCTTGAAAGAGGATGACAGCAAGACCATGAAATGTGCATGGTCTGGGACCATGTTTTTATCTCCAGGTTGTGGCAACACAGCTAAACCCCAACCTGAGCACAGCTCCGGCATTAACACTGCGGATCTGAGGGCAAAGCACTCAGGACTCAAGGAATCCTATGTGCCCCACCCCCACCCAAGTCTGGCTGATACCAGTAACATGTGTAGCTCCCTTGGACAACGAAACAAATCCAGGTTCCCCAGTGTGTGTGGTGTGTGTGTGTGTGTGTGTGTGTGTGTGTGTTTTCATATTAGGGATTGAACCCAGAGGTGTTTTACCACTGAGCCAACCATTTTTATTTACTATTTTAAGACAGGGTCTCACTAAGTTGCTTAGGGCCTTACTAAGTTGGTGAGGTTGGTATCAAACTTGTGATCCTCCTGCCTCAGCCTCCTAAGTAGCTGGGATACCCTTGTACCTGGCTTTATTCCTCTCAAGAGAGGAAAAATTATAGAAAAAGAAGTGGCAGAGCAATGGTAAAACCCTGAGTAACCAACTGTCATAGCCTCTCAGCATTCCTAAGGGATCACGGTAACACATAAATTAGCTTCAGCTTTCCACAGTCCCTGTGGGAACTGCTTGAACCACACCAGACACTGAACTTCTCAACAAGGAGGAGGAATATTATATACCTGGACTGCAGTAGGTGAGAGAACCATTCTTCCATTGAAATCTAAGATCTAAAATCACTAAAATAAAATAAAAACCCCAATAGGCTGGTTTGGACCCAGGTTAAGAAACGTTTAGGAAACTCTGCAAGTCAGCACTGGTCTTTCCATCTCTCATCTCCAGATATTCTAGATGGAACTCTGCCTTCGACATCTAGGTACTCACATTTCCAAAGCCTGAGGTGGCACTTCTTCTCTGCTAGGCTTGCATTAGATCACCCTGTGGTAGGCAAGAGCCACCTTTGCACAGATATCTGGCTGGTCATGGAGTCACCAGTCACAGGGACCACCAAAGTCTAGAAAATGGAGCATGCCTCAAATTTTGAGTGCAGCAAAAACCACCAATATGTAATCCAGTGATGCTGAGAGTCCAGTCTTATTAAAAGGCAGACTGCCAGGCATGGTGGTGCACACCTGTAACCCCAGTGACTTGGGAGCCTGAGGCAGGAGGATCACAAGTTCAAGGCCAGCCTTGGCAACTTAGTAAGACCCTCAGCAAATTATCAAAATCATGTCTCAAAAAAAAAAAAAATCAAAAGGGCTGGGGATGTAGCCTAGTGTTAGAGTGCTTCTGAGTTCCATCCCCAGTACCACAAATAAATAAATAAGCAAAGTCCACGTTTTATTAACCCTTGATTAAACAGAATTCTTGATTATCTAGAGCTTGACAACATGTTTAAAAACAATTTCACAAGAAGACATTAAGCGAATGAATGAATGAATGCTTCCATATACAGTTCCTCATAGCTTAATGATGGAGACACATTGTGAGAAATGTGTTGTTAGGTGATTTTGTCACTGAGTGAAAATTATAGAATGTGCTTACACAAACAAACTGCTATGATGTCACTAGGTGATGCACTCTCAAAGGACCATAGTTGAATACTCAGTCCTCCGTTGACAAAATGTCATTATAGGGGACCTGACTATTTATTCTAGAAATGGTACAAATTTGACTAAAAAATGTAACTTCAAATTATTTATAATAAAAATTCAATGAGAACTTATGGTTAAAATTTAGGATATTGGCTGGGCATGGTGGTGCACACCTGTCATCACAGCAACTCGAGAGGCTGAGGCAGGAGAATTGCAAGTTCAAAGCCAGCCTTAGCAACTTAGTGAGGCATTATGCAACTTGGTGAGATCCTGTCTCTAAATAAAATACAAAAAGAACTGGGGATGTGGCTCAGTGGTCAAGTGTCCCTGAGTTCAATCCCTGGTCCACCACTGCCCCAACCCCCGACAAAAAAACAGTTTAGGAAACGGGAGCATTTAAATATTCTGCATCATTATAGAAGGAGGATAAAATCATATTCAGATGAACAGTATGATCATATGCAGAGAAAAACTGAAAGTATAGGCTGAAATGAATCATAATTTTCTGTTTGTTCCTGTTTAACCAAAGTTTAGAAACCATGGTGGGTCCCTGTGGTACTAGTTGCATGGGGTCACCACTTGGACAGAAATCCCCCTGGCTTGCCCATTCTGATGCTGGCCATAACTATTCTGCTCAGAACATACACTGGTGCGTGTCAGGATATCAACACCAATGTGAAGCATGAAAGAAATAGTTTTCAAACTCAATCAGGGCTCAAGTTACACCCAAATCAGGGTTCATGCCATGGATTCTTGGAACCACTGACAGCTCTAATCCATCTTATTAAAGATCTATCTGGGACTTTAATAGCTAACTTCTCTTGCTAAGATAATGACTATAAATATGATCTATCTTATGCCAGATCTTATTTTTGGTAGAAATTTCCGATTAACTTATTCTACTTGACTAAATGAGGACGCCGATGGACACATATTATATCCCTGTTGGACAGTGCAGGGCTTACTGGCATGGGCGTGACTGGGGATTAGGTGAGAAGCAGGGGCAGGATGTTATTTTATTACCAGACAAAATAAATTTTTTTCACCACCTAGGCACTGGAAGAATAAGCAGCAATTATTCCATTAATTCACTAAACAACCACTGATCGCTCATCTTCTGGGTGCCTGCAACAGGACTGTTCCAATGTGAGATCACCCAGAGCACAGCCCCACTCCATACTGCAGAGAAGTTGAAGCTAAGCTGCCTTAAGAGCTGAGATGGGACAGACAGCCCACCAGACTGAGAGATGAAGCCCTTATGCTCTGAGTTTGCTGCCCTTGAAAAGAAAAGGGGTCTGTACAGAATGGGAAAGCTCTAAAGGAAAATGAGTGAGCGTGGGTGACCCCTCCCTTTCATGACCAGAAGCTGCCAGGTGTGGCCACAGGCCTGCAGAGCTTACCACCACATGATAGGTTGTAATCTTCAGTTAGAGACACAGTCTGGAAAGCACCGGAATTGGCCCCACTTCCATGCTAGGGTTATTTATTGAAGGAGTACATCACCAAGACAAAGGGCTTTTAGACAGACCTGACTGGACAAGAAGCCATGACCTTTCCCAGCCCAACAATGACACAGATGGGAAGGACAACCAGTCCTATAGTCCCGTGACATGCTCTTCAGAACAAGGCAGCCATCTGGGCTCTGGAGACTGGCCTGGCCCCACAAAGTGGATGCCTGCTCTCAGATCAAAGCATGCTGTGGCCAGTACCCAGGTCTCACCTGCCCTCAGGAGGGCTCCTGGTGGCCCAAGGACAGAGACAGGCAAGCTCATGCATGGGTTAGTATCACAGAGGGCAGTACCATCACCACAGACAGAGTACCTGGGAATAACCTACTTTGAGGGCTCAAATGCAGATAGGTCTTCTGCCTTGGGCTTGAGGCTAAACCAGCAAAATAAAATGAAGAAAAACAAAAACATACCCTGTGATATCAACAATGCCACATGTGCCATTTGCAAAATGCTCAGACAGGCCTGAAATAATGATGAGTGACTTCGCTTGTTTTAATGGCTTGAAAACAGGTCTCTCTAACTTCAGCACTCCAAGTTCTCATGGCTGAAGGTCCAGCTCACTACAGCAGCAGTGGCAAAGAGGAGACCGCTTTTGGTGCTCAGGTGAAAAGAGCGTGGGGTGGGGTCTGAGGAAGCTCCCTCAAAGTGGACCAGCTCATTGGCCCAATCATCGTTTTAGCTCTTTGCTTAGTGCTAGAGGCCTCCTTTTAACTTTTTAATAACTTCATTTGGGCTAGGGATATGGCTCAGTGGTAGTGTACTTGCCTGGTTCAATCCCCAGCACCGCACACAAAAAAAGGGAAACCACTTTAATAACTGTTTTAGAAGGAATATCCAAGAAAGGACAGAAACCAGAGGAAAGAACAAAGAATGTGGAAATGCCTTTCCTTCTAGGTTATGCTATTAAAAGTGATTCTCTACCTGGTGCCAATTGTAACTGGAGTCATTAGAGAGAAGTGGGAGTTCCCTACTGTACCCATCAATGATGACAGGCAGATTCAGTCACAGCTTAACCACTGAAAACAGAGACAGTCCTTAAACTGGGAGACCATTTTAGAGAATATTTTAAAGGTAAAGAGTAAAACTTGAACCAGATCAATGAATTCTAAGATCATCTAAACCTAATAAACAATCTTATTTTAATAACACCTATTTTAAGCTGGATACAGTGGCTCATGTCTGTAATCACAGCAACTAGGGAGACTGAGGCAGGAGGATTGCAAATTTGAGGCCAGCCTCAGCAATTTAGCAAGGCCCTAAAGCAACTTAGTTAGACCCTGTTTAAAAAAAAAAAAAAAGGGTGAGGATATACTCAGTGGTAAAGTACCCCTGAGTTCAATCTCCAGTACAAAAAAAATTTAAAAATAATCAAAAATAAAAAAAACCCACATACCTATTTTATAGTAAAACCTGGTCCTAAGCTATCAGTTAAAAACAGAGTATTAACTGGCTGGTAAAGACCTTTTGGTTTGCCTATATAAGGGAGTTACGCTCTTGGGCTGATAATATATATGGAACTTAACTTCTAAATATCTAAAATGCCGAGAGCTCCAAATATCAGGCAAGGAAGACGGGCTACTGTGAGCCTCGTAGATGAAAGGTCATTTTTTAAAACATTAATGTTCTCCTAGGTAATTCAAGTATGAAAAAAGTTGAAAATTCAGAATATGGTTTCTCTATCAAGTCCTTGCCACTTAAAAATGCAAAAGACTAGAGGGGACTCCATTCTTCATTGTGCCTTCTCATTAAGCAAGGCAGTTCCCTGGGCATAACTCCCCTTGGCTTAAAAGACAGAACCGCTTAGTGCTCAATGATGAATCAAAACCCATCTTCTAACAGGGATTCATCTCATCAGAGCTTTTAACACTAGTTTCACTTCCATCAAGCCAGTGGGTTCACGGTCGCTGGTAGATTAAATTTCTTTTCTGGCAGGAGTTGAAAAATTTCCTCAACTAAGTACATGTAAAAAATGACAACAATCTAATGACTCGCCTCCTGAGGAAACCAGATGCCAACCTCACATTTCGCTAATGAATGTCCTGATCAGTAAAAGCCAAGAGACTGGGTACCTTTTTAATGGTATTGTGCTTGCTGCTGGTGCCACCTCTGTCCGAATTCTCATTGTGCAGAATATCCAAAGCTGTTTCCCTTTCTTTTAGTTTCAAGGCCTCGATTTCTGTCTTGAGCTCATTAAGCTGCTCCTGGAGATGCTTGCTCTTCTCCATATATTCCACTCTGTAGGCAAGAGGACACTGTGGATCAGGGCACAGGTGAAAAGGCATAGGTGAGATGGTTTGTGACCCACAAGCTGCACAGCCAGGGTCTAAGATCATTCATAGGCCAGCCATGGGAGCTTGGTCACTTATATGCAATGAATGAATCTGTTTCCTTATTGGTAAAATTGGAATAATGATCACAGGGCTATATGGTCAGGATTAAACAAAGTACAGGAGCTTGGCATGGTGGTACACATCTGTAATCCCAACAATGCAGGAGGCTGAGGCAGGAGGATCCCAAGTTCCGAGCTAGCCTCAGCAACTTAGTGAGACCATATCTTAAAATAAAAAATAAAAATTAAAAGGGCTGGGGCTATAGCTCAGTGGTAAAGTGCCCCTTGGTTCAATCCCCAGTATCACACACACACACACACACACACAAAGTATAGGAAAGAAAGCCCTCTGTAAATTCTTATACAGCACTCTACAATTGCTATTTGTCATAGATAGATTTCAGTTTTGCACAAAAAAAAACCAAGATTCCTATCACCACAAACACTCTTTGTCTCAGCCATTCTTGAAGAAGTAATTCAAGTTATCTCTTCTGATAGACCATAATGCCCCACTTATTCTCAGACTTCCTCTCCTAAAGAGGACAGAAGCTCACTCAGCCAACACCAGGAGAGGAAGCTCTCCACCCCCACCTGCAAGTAGATACACTGAGCAACAGTATGTAAAATGGTAAAAATCTAGGAATTGCCTTTAAAGAGTCCAATGACAAGGGAATGGTCTGGAAAACTATGCAACACGTATGTGAAGGAGGCTTCTGAAGGGATAACCATGGCTAGAAGATGGGCTCTGCCAATATGTGCAAGAGTAACAAGTGCTAGAGGCCCCGGCTCGATCCCCAGCACGACTGATTGATTGATAGATAGAAAAAATTAGAGCAGATCAATAAACACACACACACACACACACACACACACACAATGAATGTCTGTGACTCCCCCAAATTCACATCTTAAAACCAGATCACCAATGGGAAGGTGTTAGAAGGTGGAGCCTTTGGGAGATGATTAGATCAGAAGAGTGGCACTCTCATCATGGGATTTGTGTCCTTACATAAGAGACTCCAGAGAGTCCTCAGGTACATGTGAGTGCACCACATGAAAACACAGCAAGAAGGCGCCACCTGTGTGGGCTCTCACACTCTGTTTGACAATGCCTTGATCTTGGATTTCCCAGCCTCCAGAACTGTGATAAATAAATTTCTTCTGTTTATAAGCCACCCAGCCTCAGGTATTTTGTTATAGCAGCCAAACACACTAAGACAGTAAGAAAATACAAACTATAAAACAGCGGGACACAGAACAGGATGTAGCCTCACATGGATCACAACCACATAAATATGCACAGCTGGACAAGAGTGAAAGGAGTGCAGACAGCAGATGCTTCCAGAAGAGGCTCTCGGTCACTGGCTTCTTTGCTGTCCCCTGAATATGAGGGACTGAAGAGAAAGAGAGCCTGGCTTGCTGGACTCCATGGAGGCACTTTCCCAGAGGCTTATCCTGAGGATGCCACACATGGGTGAGGATTTTCAACCACTGGTCTGCTCCTCCAGCTGCATGATGCTGGGTGAGCTCATTAAACCAAGCCATTATAAAATGGGAACACGAAAACCTTTGATGTCAGTGTGATGATTGTTAGCAGGAATTAAATGACACAAAAATCTCAAATAACCTGATAAAGTGTGGTAGCTATTGTGATTGTTCTCTGACAGCCGTGGCATCATTAACCAGTTTACCTCCAGCTTTGGGAATGAGGGCTCCCTCACTTCGCCTTCCTGTGCAGCATGACCCCTCTCTATGTCTAATCTACATTTGTCTATTGACTTCCCAAAATTCATGTCTTGAAACCAGGTCACCAGTCTGAAGGTGTTAGGAAGCTGGGCCCCACCCTCTAACTCCTTCACATGGTGTTAGGGGTGGAGGGCAGCTTGGCAGAAGCTGCTGTGGTCAGGCCATGCCAGAACTCCACTCAGGGCTGCCCAATGCAGCAGAGCTGGCCTATTCCAGCCACTGGCTTTCCTGAGACTTTAGCCCGAGATTCCTTCTCTTCTCTTTATTCTGGCCATGGGAACCAACATAGATCTGAGTCACTGGAGAATGTGACCAGGTGAAAACCACAGCCTACTAGGACAGGAACAGCAGCAGTCTGACTTAGAGACCCCAGACAAAGTAGTCCTGTTCTTTTTTTGTTTTTCAGTTCTAGGGATTGAATGTAGGGCCTTGCATGTGTCACGTGCCCAGTCCTTTTACCACTGTGCCCGGCCAGTCCTATTCTTCAGTCGAGGTTTTGAGCCACTATAAATTCCAAGCCACCAATCAAGTGTTATTTTTATCCTGTAAAATCGACTGCTGATATGTCATCTTTAATTTCTAATTAGGAAACTCATCCTCTAGTATATGACAACAGAGCAAATCTTTGCAGGAGTTAGTGACAGGCTGCCACAGCAACCCTTTGTGTCCTTAGGCTCACATCCACTGACTCTTGTTCATGGCTGCCCCAAGCAGGGTACAGGGGGCTACATACTTTTCTTTCTCTATTTCCATGGAAAGCCGCTTCATGTCAGTATCCTTGAAGTCGAAAGACAGGCTGTCACCAATGAGGTTGAAGCTTGGTATGTCAGGAGGCAATGGTGCTGGAATTGGGTTCATGGGCTATAATGAAAAAGCTCAGATTAGGAGGTTTCAGTTATACAAGAACAAACCCTCCACACTCAATACTGCCAGGTGAATGGTCCCACAGACAGGAAAATCATCCCTCTTCCCCTCACATTTGACAGTTCTCATGCTCAGCTGAATCAAACACAAACTCCCATTCACTTAAAAAATTTTTTTTTTTAGTTGTTGAAGACCTTTATTTATTTGTATGCGGTGCTGAGAATCAAACCCAATGCCTCACGAGTGCCAGGCAAGTGCTCTACCACTGAGCTACAACCCCAGCCCACCCATTCATTTTTTCATTTAGGAAACTCCGAGGCCCTGTGCTAAGAGCCGGAGACACATAGAACAAGACAGCATCCCTGGCTCTGAGCAGCTGCAGGTCTTATTCAGGAAACAGATGTGTTCACAAATCCTCACAGTTAAATAAGATAAACACTGTAGCCAAGGAGTGAACAGAGGCCAGGAGGGCTGGAGGGTGTGCTATAAGAAATGCTGCTTCTGTTGGAATCAGAATATGCCAGAAGGAGAAGGGTATCAGGTGAGAGGCACATCAGTGGGAAAGGCAGAGAGTGTCCAGCCAGAGTGCTGGTTGTGTGCAGAGGTATATGGGGAGACAGGGAGGAAACTGGCCCAGACCAGACTCTGCCAGCTTGCTGAGGGGCTGGGACTCAGAAAACGGAGTTGGAGGATGGCTTAAAGTATAGAATGAAGTCATTAGATTTGGTTTAGGACTTTCTCATCCCAGAGCATAGAGATCTCTAAAACACAGCCCCAGTCTACTTCCCTACCTCCCTCTATTCACCCTATTAAATCGTAAATGCTACTATTTATTGTCTCTTGAGCCATGTTGCCTCTCCATCTTTGTACTCATGCCTATCTGTGTCACTTCTCCTTGTGCCCTTTCTCCTTGTGCCTCTTTCAAGGACTTTCTTAAATCCCTCAGTCTCTCACTATGTTGTCCCTTAACACTGCGGGGAACTCTATAATGGGCCTTTTCAGTAATTCTGCCCTGAAAGATTCTTTTTTGGCTGTGTATTCTGTTTTCTATTGTCTGCAAGTTTCCTGTGGGTAGGATCCTTCTCTTTTTTATCCTTGGATCCTGTATTGAGTCCAGGATGGTGTCTGGGGAAGAATGGAGCCTCAAAATGTTCATCTGTGACAATAACAAGGCCTAAGGCAGGGTGTCTGGAGGATGTCAGAAGTGGCGTGGCATTTAGTGAGGGTCTAAAACACATTCTGTTTTCTGATCTGAATGTAGGGTACATGGGTTGTTTTATGAAAATTTATCATGTTCAGCCACAATTTGGGTACTTCTCTCTATATAAGTCATACTTCATAAAAACTTTCAGAAAGGATAAGCATTGGCTGCCACATCACTGGAGAGAGCAGAAACTGGCACAACCTCATTGAAGCACACCAAAATTGAATATCTGACCACCCAACTCTATTTACAAGAATTTATTCTACCAATATAGCCACATATGTACGTATGAAGATATGCATTCAGGGATATTGAAACAGACTAAATACCCAACCATAAGGAACTGGTTAGATAAATTACAACCTATCTGTACCATAAAATGTGATTACGAAACTGATGGGGGGGGGCCTGGGGTTGTGGCTCAGCAGTAGAGCGCTGTCTACCACATGTGAGGCGCTGGGTTTGATCCTCAGCACCACATAAAGATAAATAAATAAAATAAAAGGTGTTGTGTCCAACTACAACTAAAAAATATTTTTAAAAAATGATATGATCTCCTTCAGGGTTTATTGCTAAGAGGTATATCTTAGAATAGCTTGCCCCAATGTAAGTTTTAAACACACATATCCTGGGGGCCCAGCTGAGCCTTCAAGGTGACCCCAGTCTCTGTGTAACCTGTGACCACCCCAGACAACCTGAGACATTAAGCCAAATCAATTCACCATGCTGTGAGAAGTATAATGAATGGTTGTTTGGAGCCACACAGTTGGCTTAGGGTGGGTGTTAACAAAGTAAAAGACAATAGCAAACTGCTCCCACATCCCCCATCCCAAACCCCAAGCAGCTTGTCTCTTGTGCCCCACCTGCATCTGTCTATGTGTGAACATGCTGTGAAAGCACACACAGTGTATGTATGTGTGCTGTGTACTTGAATGTGCAGTGTGTGTGTTGGTGCCATGCACGTGAATGGACTGTGTGTTTGTGCTGTGGGTGCACCTGTGTTTTTGCCCAGAACATTCTATTGTCTCTTTCCCATCTGGATAGTCCCTGCTCCCACCCCAAGACTCAGTTCAGATGCTATCTTGAGCCTCTCCTGCCTCCAAGGCTGGGCTATATTCTGCGTACCTGTGCACATCTATCTGGATACAGATTCCATGTGTGTGGTATTATGTGGACACAGAACAGGTATGTAAAGAAAGTTTGCTGAGAAGATTGCACAGAGGAAAGGAAGGGAAGTAGCTTCTATTTACTTTGTGGCCCAATTTAACAGAAGTCTGTCGCCCTGTCCACAAAACTGAGGTTGGCAGCTGGTTCTTGCATGGCAGTTATTCACTCTGAAGTAAACTGAGTGAACTGGAGAAGGCCCTTTTGCCCATTATCTATGTTACTGTCTTTTATCTGGTTATCTAGCTAATCAGAGAGGTAAATAACTAGTCCAAGGCCAAAAGCCCCTCCCGACTGCATTTGATCATGTGTTCACTTGAATGGTCACCTTGAAGGTACTGTCAATGAACCAAGGGCTGGGAGGGATAGGAAATCACCAGGTCTCTAAAGCAATCACAGGCTGGCAGCCTCCACCAGGCTCACCGGGTATGTGGGCTTGGTGGCGATTTCCAAAAGCTTCTGTTTGGCTCTTCGCTCTGCCTCACGGGCTTCCTGCAGGTCCTGCTTCAACTGATCTGCCTCCTTGGCCCTGCAAAGGAAGGAGGAGATGTAAGCTCCACAGAAAAGAATAGGTAGAAAGAGCATACCCCTACTCTCAGTCCCTAGAGAGGAGGGACATGGGTTAACTCTGAGGATAACAGTGACATTTACAGGAAGTCAGAACTCCCAAAGCAAGGTCAACATTCCTGGGCATTATTTATTTCAATTGGTAACTCTAGACTGGGAGAGAAGCCAGTGGGGAGAAGAGCCAAACAAGGAATTCTGCAAGCCAGCCAGGTACAGAGGCACATGTCTGTAGTCCCAGCTACTCAGGAGGCTGAGGCAGGAGGATCAGTTAAGCCCTGGGCAACATAGCAAGATCCCATCTCATAACAAAATCAAAAACACAAAACAAAACCTCTGTAATAGGTGGAGACAGAGGAAGGTAGGAAGTTGGGGAGGAGCGAGAGGCACATTTGCTTATTTCTGGGTGACAGTGGGCAGGGCAAAGGAAGTACACAGGAGAGCAAAAGTCTTTATTTTTTTTCCCCCAAAAGTCTTATACTGGACCATAAAGGGCAAAAATAGGAAAGAATGTTTCTTCACAGCCTGCAAGTAAAAGAGTCGCAGGTTAAGCACCCACTTTCCTCAGGCAGGAAGATCAAATCTGCCACTGAGGGCAACTGCTTCTTGGTGCAGATCCCCACCCTAAAGGACACATGTTGGGGGCAGCATGTGAGGCCTGTTGTGGGGACCCATACTGAGATCCAACACTCACAGCAAATGTGACCAACATAGAAAGAAAGGGGGCCAGGACAGGGCCAGCCACCAGGAACCATTTCTCCAGAATGACACGCAAAGAGTGATGGGGAAAATCGTAGTGAATGAACCTTGGTGTCTAAGAGCCAGATTCAAGTGTTCTAAATCAATACAGCCAGATGCTGTGGGGAATGTTCCAGTGTTTATCTGAAGGCTGCAGAATAATCCAGATCCTAGAATAGTTTCTGAAAAGTACAGATAACAGCAGTTCCCTTCAACAGTTCCCAACTTGGTCCCAAGGAGAACCCTGCCTCCCTCTCCCCACTATCTACTAAGAAGGCTGCTGGGACTTCAGATGCCTAATTTCCCTTTCAAGGTAAATAACCTCTGTTTTCCCACATCACCACCACCATCCCAAATAAAAAGGAGGAAAGAACCACATTTTTTTAAATACAAAAATGACTTTTTAAATTTCCTTGACTAAAAGCAGTCTGGAGATGCTCAGAAGTTCTCTTGCAAAAATGATTATCAGATAGACAGGGGTTTATCACAGATGCAGGACCAGAGAGGTCTACTCAGCAAAAGAAAAAAAAAAAAAAAAAACTGTTTCTGGGTCCTTCCAACAGCTTCAGCTACCCAACCCTGTCCAGGAAGGAATGTCCCCATCCTTGCCCCACAATGGAGAAGCAGCTTGAGGATGGCTGCCACCCAGCTCAAGGAGAGAGAGTCCCTTAGGCAGGCCCAAATTTCCAGGACACCCCCCCTCACCTCCTCTCTGACTCCTCAGCCATCTTCAGTGCTAGCACCTCAGCCTCCAGCACCTTCTGCTCCATGAGGCGCTTCTCTTCCTCTGTCCGAATGGCTGTGGCCTTAATGCGCTGCATCTCCTGCTCTGCCTCTGCGGCTTTCTGGGCCAAGAGTTTGGCCTCTTCCTCGGTGATCTGGGCCTTTTCAGCCAACAGGTCTGCTGTCTCCTCTGACCGCATCTAGAGAGGAGTGTGCTCAGCTGGACTGGGTTCCTACCTCCTGCCCAGATCTGCCCTGGAACACGCAGATCAGCAAGAACCAGTCTTGGACTCCCGGGGCCCTGTCACCAAGTGTCTCCTCAGCAGCACTCATGCAACAGATGATATGTCACATCGCCCAAATATTTAGAAGAGCCTTTTGGGCTCCACCAGTGAGAAACAAAAAGAAAGGGCACTTTTTTTGAGTACCCATTTCAACTAAGGCTGATGCTTTATGAGGGAGAAAAACAACTTAAACATTGTACTTCTTTCTCTTTAATCAGTGGTTCCAAACCAGAGGAGGCCGGGAGGCTGAGGCAGGAGGATTGCAAGTTCAAAGCCAGCTTCAGCAACTTAGTAAGGCCCTAATCAATTTAAACAAGACCCTGACTTAAAACAAAAAGGGCTAGGATATGGCTCAGTGGTTGAATGACCCTGGATTCAATCTCTGGTACCCCACCATGACCAAGAAAAGAAAAGAAACAAGAGGAAGGCTGGACGAGATGGAGCATGCCTGTAATCCCAGCAACTCAGAAGGCTGAGGTAGGAGGATAGCAAGTTTAAGGCCAACCTTGGCAACTTAGCAAGGGCCTAAGCAATTCATTGAGATTCTGTATCAAAATAAAAAATAAAAAGGGCTGGAGATGTGGCTCAGTGGTAAAGTGCCTCTTGGTTAAATCTCCAGTATCAAAACCAAAAACAAAACAGAAGAGGTTCTATCTCTGTCCCCCACCACCCTGAGGCACATGGCAATGTCTGAAGATACCCACCACCACCCTATCCCACCCCTCAATACTGGAAAAGGCACCCAGGGCCTTGTGCATGCTAAGCAGGCACTCTACTACTGAGCTACATCTCCAGCCCTGGAAACATTTTTGATCATCACAAATGGAGGTTAATATAATCAGAGATATGATAAATTATGATATAATGGTGCATTAAGAATTGTAATGCAAAAATAAATAAATAAATACATACATAAATATACAAATCCATTCTTGCAGTAAGATGCATATAATTATCAATTGGATTATAATACTCATCATGTACTTAAGAAGTTTGTACTTATATATATTGCCATATATTATTAGCTAGCAGATTTTTAAAACATAATAAAATAATGATACTATTAATTTAAAAAAATGGAAGTTAAGGTGGTATTATTAGCATTTAGGAAGTAGAGGCCAGAAACAATGCTAATCATCCTTCGATGCAGAGGACAGCCCCAGATGAGAGGTCTCCCAAGTCAGTAGTGCCAAAGTCAAATAATGCTGCTTTAAAGGTAATCCTGTGGTAAAAGTAGAGTCTGGATGCACATGAACTCAACCTAAACCTATTTCTGGCAAACAGGTGGAAAGAAAAGGCACTGCCTTTTTAAAAGCTGAAATAAAGTCTTCCACGGGAGGCTGAAGAAGTAGGATCACAAATTCAAGGCTAGTTTGGGCAACTTAGTGAAAGCCCTTCCCAAAATAAAAATGAATAGGGCCGGAGATGTAGCTGCATCTGCAGTGGTAGAGTGCTTGCCCAGTATGCACAAAGCCCTGGGTTTAATCCTTAGGAATGAAGAAAAAAACAAAACAAAACAGGGGAAATAAAAGCTGAAATAAAGTATATCAAAGCAAATATTGCTAATTCAGTCCCCAGGAGGCTCCTTCCAGAAGTCCCCATGTGACCTCTTGGGACCCCAACCCTCAGAAAATCACCAGTGCTTCATTGGCCATCGTGGCTTCTTCTTTCATCTGTAGCAGCCTCCTCTCCAGCTCATCCCTTGTGCGTTCAGCCTCCTCCCGCATCTGTTTCTCTCGAGCTAGGCGCTGCCGCTCCATCTGGAGGGGTGAACAAGAGCAGGGGTGAGTCACAATGCTCCAGCACCCCAAAAATGCCCAGCCTCCAGAGCCTCTCCTTTGAGGACCAATCTCTTTTCTTGGGGCAAACTTAACCATTGCTCTCTGTCACTTCTAAACCAGGGGCAGAGTTGAAAGCTGTGTACCTTAAAAAAATTCTACTAGTGAATAAACAAATGAAGAAACAACAACAACAAAGCCAAGCTTGGTCTCCATCTGGACAGAAGCAGTATTCTTCCACAAAGTGCCCTTGTAACACCCCTGTTAGTTAGGAAACCTCATGTGGCTCTGCCCTGTGGCTGGTGGTTTGTGACGCAGGTTCCTCCTTCCTGAGATGGAGCAGCTCTCAGCTCTCTCATCTCTCAGATGAGCCACTTTATCATTTCTAATCCACACAGATTCTTCACAAATCTCTGATTTCATCCACAACAACTCTGCTCCTGTCTGGCCCACAGAGAAGATGGACCTGTGTGTCAAGCATCAATGGCTCACGCAACTATTTCACAGGTGGAAGCTGCAGCAGCCACAGCACAGCTCTGCACAGCCCCACGCAGAGGCAACTTCTGAGCCAGGCAGGGAACATAGCTCAATCCTTAAGGCAATGGTACAAAGCCACTGCCACCTCCCTTGTCTGCTAGATCACTGTGTTAATTAGGCTACCTTCCGAGCTTAATAAGGGGAACAAGACTGGGACAGCACCATCTCTGTGATCCCAGAATATGAACTGAGTCCAGAAAGCAAAAGCTAGAATGATCACTGCTATTTTCTGCCTTAAATAATGAAGGCATAGTGAATTACTACTTTCTTGCTTTAATCTTATCCCAAACTCTAGTAGTACAAGATTTCTTGGTCTAGGGCTATAGCTCAGTGGTAGGTCCTTGCCTAGCATGTGTAAGGCTCTAGGTTTGGTCCTCAGCACCACACAAAAGTAAATAAATAAAATAAAGGTATTTTATCTAAAAATATTTAAAAATTTTCTTTTTTTATGTGTGTGCATGTGTGTGGTATCATTGTTGGACTGAGGGGTGCTCTAACACTGAGCTGCATCCCCAGCTTTTTTTTTTTTTTTTTTTTTTTGGAGACAGGGTCTCCTTAAGCTGCTTAGGCTGGCCTTGAACTTGTGATCCTCTTGTCTCAGCCTCCCCAAGTAGCTAGGATTACAGCCCTGTGCCACCATGCCCCACTGGTAGGCTGCTGCATTTCTAAATACAAAGCCAAAAAAATGCACTGAAATTTGAAAGGATAATGCAAAGATAAGTAATAAAATACTGTAAGCTCTCTAATTTTCTTCTTGCTGGTCAATGAGAAGCATGGCCAATTTGTTCTCTAATTTCGATCGTATTATAATTTCCATCTCTATTATCTTCCTCTTGGGAAAAAAAAATGGCCCAGGCAGCCCCATTCAGTTCCCAGCACTATATTTTCCCTGAGACCTCTACCCCAATAATAAAGGACTTCCCATCTACAAAGCAGCCTATCACTTACAAAGACTTTCTTCAGGCACAATATGTCCTTTGATTTGAGAAAAGACAAGAGGCATCATTAGCTCCACTTGATGGAAGAGAAAACTAAGTCATACACTAAGTGACTGATCCAGCTCCAAGGTCACTGTTCTACTGAGCCATGGAGCCCTCTGACCTGTCAAGTCCCCTGACCTTTGGTTTTCCAGATGCCTGGGTCATGCCTCTGCTGTCCTATAGGCAGTACAGGCCGAGGGGTAGTCATGCTATTCTCTGCCAGGGTCCAAAGCCTACACCCTCCTTTATGTCTTTAAATCTGTCACTTCTAAGCTTTGCTCTGCTGAGAAAGAAGTCAAAGGAAGCTCTTCTTAAAGTTGCCACTACGACCTTATGCTGGCCAGGAGCATTTCTTTGCCCAACAAAACCTATCTCATCACCTTTAAAGCATACCAAAGAGTACATTGAGCCTATTCTCCCAGAAAGCAAAGAGATGGAGAGCTAACAGCCCACTGGATCAAACTGGCATTTCACATTCAATTCCAGGGCTGGAAGCCAGCTCTCTAGGGTACCCAAATCAGAGAGCAGCACACAGACTAATCATTACACCTCTGAGCTTGCTAGTCCGGAGGGCAGCCGACTGCAGCTGCCACTACTCTATCTAACAGTTCATCCAAAAACAATTGATATTCTCAACATCGAGGCTCAAATTAGTTGTGTGGGTTTTGGTGAGTAGAGAAGGTCTATGAGTAGAAAACAGCAATGCAGCTCGTCCAGTCTGCTGATAGGCCCTCTCCGAACCTCCCACAGTGGGTGATGTGCACCCAGGCTGACCTGCAGTGAGGAAGTGTGACCAGAGTCTAATTAGTATTCCAGCAGCAAGCACTGAAATGCTGCCATGTATTCCATCACCATCTAATTAGAAAAGGAGAAGGCCAGGCAAAGGAGACAGACAGGCAAAAAGAAAGCTAGCTAGCGAGGTGGATGGAGAGATGAAGCTAGCTACATCATCCAAACCTGTGTTAATCACACTTAACTTCACTGAAGTGTAGAGATATTTCTCTTAGATGGCTGTTAGAATTTATTGCTCATTTCTAAAGCTGACATTCCACCAAGTGGGTATTAGCTAATAAAGATTCAACAGGGGTCTGGGGTTGTAGCTCAGAGGTAGAATGCTTGCCTTGCACATATGAGGCACTAGGTTCAATCCTTAGCAACACATAAAAATAAACAAAATAAGTTTAAAAAATATAGTTTAAAAAAAGATCCAACAGGGATGAAGTAGGAGCAGGCATGTCCATGGCCAAATGGTTCTATCAGTCCATACCGCCTTACCTTCCAGGGCAAGACTGACCAAGCAGCAACATCATCCTTAAAATAAGGTCTTGCTCACCTGCTTTCTAGCCTTCTCCTCCCTGGCTTGGGCTTTCATCTGCTGAACTTCCAAAGAATCAGCCTTCCTTCTCCTCATAAATAGGTCATGGTTCCCAATACATAATTGAAGAATCTGTGGGCATGGAGCATGAGAAATGTTAAACCCACAAATTTACTTTTCTGCCTATCAGACCAGTCACGCTACGCATCACAGCCTCTGGTGAGTGGCACTAAACCTGAGGAGTAAAATGGCAAAGCACGCTGACAGCTTCTAGTGCTCTTAGCTCTGTAGGCACGCAAAATGAAGACAGCTCAGATAAGCTAAGAGGTAAAAATCACAAGTGGAAAGAGGAGAAAGGTCAATTATCATGTCTTCTACATGTACACCTTACTCTCCTAAGCCAAGATATGGCTCTGCAGATTAGGAAGGGCAGGAAAGCTCATTCAGTAAGTTGGGCTGGGACAAAAGGTTATTCATGTGGAAAAAAAAGTTTGTTAGATCCCTCCCTCACACCATACACAAAAATTGATTCCAGAAGGATTAAGAACTTAAATGCAAAGATAAAGTCCTAGAAATTGTGATTAGAAGATAATGTTGGGGCTGGGATTGTGGCTAGCGATATAGAGCTCACCTAGCATGGGCGAGACCTGAGTTCTATACTCAGCACCACACAAAAATAAAGGCATGTGTTGTGTCCATCTACACCTAAAAAAATTAATATTAAAAAAAGTAATAAAATATAGAAGATAATGTTTATAATCATAGGAAGAGAAGATATGCCAACTAAGGCACATAAAAGCACAAATAATTAAGGAAAATATTTTTATATTTGTCTGCATTAAAATTTTAAAAACTTGTTAGAACTGGGCATGGTAGTGTACGCCTGTAATCCCAGTGCCTTAGGAGGCTGAGGCAGAAGGCTCACAAGTTCAAAGCCAGCCTCAGCAATTTAGTGAGGTTCTAAGCAACTAAACACCCCGTCTCAAAATTTTAAAAAACGGGGGTGTGGGGGTGCTGGGGATGTGGCTCAGTTGTTAAGTGTCCTGTGGTTCAATCCCTGGTACAAAAAATAAAAGATAAGATTACCTCTAGATAAGGAACAGGTGTGGGAGGGAACGGGAGGGAGAAGGGGAATAGCATGGATGGTGAAAGGAGACCCTCATTTAAACACATGTATGAAGATGTGAATTTGGTGTCAACATACCTTATATACATACCTTATATGATAAATTGTGGTATAAAGGTGTATTAAGAATTGTAATGCAAAAATAAACAAATTAATTTTTAAAAAAGATAAAAACAAATAGGGGCTGGGGCTGCAGCTCAGTGGCAGAGTGCTTACCTTGCACATGTGAAGCACTGTGTTTAATCCTCAGCACCACATAAAAATAAACAAATAAAATAAAGGCATGCTGTCCATCTACAACTACAAAAAAATAAAAATTTAAAAGTAAATAAATAAAAACAAATAAAAAATTTTTAGGCCAGGCATGGTGGTGCACACCTGTAATCCCAGCAACTCAGGATGCTGAGGCAGGATTGCAAGTTAGAAAAGTGCCTCAGTAACTTAACAAGGACCTAAGCAACTTAGTGAGACTGTGTCTCAAAATAAAATATAAAAAGGGCTGAGATGTAGCTCAGTGGTAAAGCACCTCTGGGTTCTATAACTAGTACCAAAAAGAATAAAATTAAAAAACAATTTTTTATTAGTCATGATACTATTAAAAAAAGAAGAAGAAGAAAAACAAGACACAGGCTGGGAGAAGGCATAATCAATAAAGAAAATAAATGACCTAACAGGAAACTGGCCAGAAGACAAAAAACAAGAATTGAATAGAACAGGAAATAAGATTGGCCAAAAAATATATGAAAAGATGTTCAATTTCATTAGTAATTATAAAAATGCAAATTGATATGACATTGAGGGTTAGGGCTATAACTCAGTGGAAGAGTGCTTGTCTAGCATGTGTGAGGCCCTGGGTTTGACACCCTATCTCTGGGGGAAAAAAGAGATAGAGATACTGAGATATAATTTATATATACAAAATTGGCAGGAAAATTTAAAAGATGATAACTTAAGTATTGAAGATACCAATCAAAAAGAAATCTCACTGCTATTGGGTCTGTAAATCTATTCTGTTTACCTTCTTTGAAAAAACAATATATTATGTACAACTATAATGCACCAGTTAAAAAATATGAAAAAAATGTGTCATAAATTTGAATCTGAATACATACTAAGCCCTGTACTTCTATATATACACTCTAAACTCTAGAGAAACTATTGCCTGTGTGTATCAAAAAGCAGAGACAAGAATGTTCATAGCAGCCTGCTAAAACAGTACAGAAGTCCATTATTAATAAGAGAATCAAGAATTTTTTTTAAAAGTACATATATTACACATATATGTATATATGTATGTATGTGTGTGTGTATATATATATATATATGTTTATCTCCATATAATAGAGTACTATACAGAATTTAAAATGAAAAGACTGTCTTTTTTTTGTGGGGTACCAGGGATTGAACTCAGGGACACTTGACCACTGAGCCACATCCCCAGCCCTATTTTGTATTTTATTTAGGGTCTCACTGAGTTGCTTAGTGCCTCCCTTTTCCTGAGGCTGGCTTTGAACTCGCATTCTTCCAGCCTCAGCCTCCCAAGTCACTAGGATTACAAGCATGGTGCCTGACTAGCAGACTATATCTTTTTTAAGCATCAACATAGATAAATCTCACAGAACAATGTAGAAAAAAGGCACTGGGATTACAGGCATGTATCATCATGCCCAGCAGAAATGTGTTATTTCTTAAATGTGGTCATGAATAATAGTATTCATTTTGTTATTCTTTATGCTTGATATATGATTATGCAATGCATATATATATATATATATATATATATATATGAAGTACCTCCACAAAAATCATTTTCAAAACTTAGTTTTGGACTGGGAGTATAATTCAGTGTATATCAACATGTTCAAGGCCCCGAGTTAAAGCTCCCCAGAACTGGGAGGAAAAATTTAGGTTTGACTATAAATTCAGGTAAAGAGAAAGGTGTGTACCAGGTGAGCTCTCATTTTACACCTCAAAGACGTCACTCTGATATTCATCAAAAAACAGTATTCAAGCCATGTGCAGTGGCACATGCCTGTAATCCCAGTGTCTTGGAAGGCTGAGGTAGGAGTATCCCAAGTTCAAGGCCAGCCTCAGCAACTTAGCAAGGCCCTGTCTTAAAATAAAAAATGAGGGAGAGTGTAAGGGGGTAAAAAAAGATGGTGAAATAAGATGAATACCATTGCCTTAAGTACATGTATGAAGAAGACATGAATAGTGTGAATATACTTTGTATACAGAGAGATGGAAAATTGTGCTCTATATCTGTAATATGAATTGTAATATATTCTGCTGTTATTTATTTATTTATTTAAAGAGAGAGTGAGAGAGGAGAGAGAGAGAGAATTTTTAATATTTATTTTTTAGTTCTCGGCGGACACAACATCTTTGTTGGTATGTGGTGCTGAGGATCGAACCCGGGCCGCACGCATGCCAGGCGAGCGCGCTACCGCTTGAGCCACATCCCCAGCCCCTATTTATTTATTTTTTAAAGAGAGTGAGAGAGAATTTTTAATATTTATTTTTTAGTTCTCAGCGGACACAACATCTTTGTTGGTATGTGGTGCTGAGGATCGAACCCGGGCCGAACGCATGCCAGGCGAGCGCGCTACCGCTTGAGCCACATCCCTAGTCCCTCTGCTGTTATTGATAACAATTTAAAATTTTTTTTAAATAAAAAAATACAAAACAAAAAGGGCTAGGGATGTAGCTAAGTGGAAAAGCAATGGGGAAGCTGGGATTGTGGCTCAGTGGTCACTTGCCTAGCACATGTGAGGCACTGGGTTCAATCCTCAGCACCACAAAGAAGTAAATAAATAAAACAAAAGTGTTGTGTCCATCTACAAATAAAGGGGAAAAAAAGCAACCTTCGGTTAAATCCCTAGTATTGATCCCCCACAAAAATTCAATTTCTTAGAAAAGCTATAGTTATCAATAATGAAAATCAGTATCTAAACTTACCAGCTTATTAACACGGAGTTTTGAGGAATTAAATTTGAAGACATCAATTTTCTTATCCAGTGGTTTAATAGTAAACTGAAAGAAGAAAGTAGAAAATAGTTCAATTTGGAGCTAGGGCTATAGCTCTGTGGTGGAGTGCTTACCTAGCAGGTGTGAAGCACTGGGTTTGATCCTTAGCACGCCTTAAAATAAAGGCATGCTGTCTACTACTACAAAAGAAGGAGGAAGAGGAGGAAGAGGAGGAGGAGGAGGAGGAGAAAATAGTTCAGCTTGATTGCATAGATTTCTACCACCAACTGGGAATTCCACAAAAGTAGCAACCACGCTGGCCATGGTCCATCATGACACTATGCCTTGTCCTGGCTTCCTAGTTCCCAGGCTCTAAGCCTCACTGTATTAGGAGAATGGAGAACAGCAAGTCTGGGGCTTTGGAAATTCAGGATCCTAAAGGTATGATTTCTGTACCATATTGGGTGGCTTTGAGGAAGGGATGCTTGGGCCAGCCCTCAAGGCCAACACTGGGAGAGCAGCACAGTCTAAGGCATAGCCCCTGCCTCATGAAGCTCCCAATCTAGTAAGAACCAGACTAACAAGAAATGGCACTCATTGGTGGCACATATCACAAATGTCCTGGGGGCTGAGTAGATCTACCAAAAGTAGAAAGGGACTGGATCTGGTCTTAGAATATGACAAAGTAGTTAAAAGGCAAGGTGCAGAGTTATTCTGGATAGTTAAGAGGAATAAGGGCAGTCAAGAGGAATAAAGTAGAGATGAGAAAGGGGCAGAGTGTGTGTGTGTGGTGTTATTAGCTTTTTGGGGATTGCAGTGGGCTTAGATGGAGGGAGGCATGGGTGGGCTGGGAATGGAGGTAAGGAATAAAAGAGAGGTTTAGATTTGATGTGATTGGATACAGGGGGTTACTACAGTTCTCTGAATTTGGGCAAACTTGATAAAAGCTCTTAATAGAAGGAATAAAATATGAAGAAGATAAATGGACTGCTATAGAAAATCAAAACCTAGCTCCTGAAATCAAAGAACAGAAAAAGATGAATGATAAGGCCAGGGTGGCAGCCAAGTAGTACCAGGACCAGATCCTTGACAGAAAGAAAAATATAATTTCCATGCTTAACCATTCCTAAGGGGGCCAAACAGATACTTGATTTCAAAGATTCATTTTAAACTACATATTCAATTCCAAGAAAGACTGCTTAGCCATCCTTAGCATTGTAGGAGTTAAAAAAAAAAAAAAAAAAAAGCATCAGTGGTAGTGCACTTGGCCTAATTCGCTTGAGGCCCTGGGTTTGGTCCCCCATATTACAAGATTTTAAAGCAAAAACCCTAGCTTGATTAGCTGATAAATATGTTGGGGAAGATATATTTCTGAGTATTTCTTTCACATGAAAGAAATTTCATACTTTTTAACATTGAGGACAGAAAATGATCCTTTGTTTAGCTTTTTGGCCAAGTTAACTCAGAAGCAGTATAGCTCTTGTGTAGGCTGCTATTTGTAAATTTCATGAGCTTATTTCTGGCCCTGCTGTCAAACCCAGAGGCTGTCAATGGGAAACCACAAGTACTGGGGAAACCACAGGCTCTGCGCCATAGCAGGGTGTACACAAAGAATCAATGGATGACTTAAAATAAACTAACATTTCTGTTTTGACAGCATGGTTGTCAAGCATAACTACCGAGACTACTTCCTATTATGCCAAGACAGCTTGAGGTCCGCTTACCATGAGTTATCAACAGGATGGAACATGACAGTGTCTGGCCCCTGGAGAGGGTAGGTAGATTAGAGTTTTTTATATCAGGCCATAGTAAGGGAGACTTTAATCCTTGGGTTCTCTAAAAATGAGTGTTTGGGAAGCCTTTAGTTAGCACAGAAATGTGTGATGTGCAGTAAACAGAGCTTTATGAAATTGGGAGATAAAGGACTACCATACTGTGGCACATCTACTGCTTTAAGTCACATGGAGCTTTCAATTTAAATACTTTCAAAAAAGAACTACCTGATGTTTATTTACCTCCTGGGCTAACTACTTACAAAAACTCCAAGTCAGAATGTTTGGGATTAAGATGCTCAATTGGCCTCATCAAGCATGGCTGAGTAGATTACAACACAGAGTGGAAACCAGAGCGTGGTGTTCCTTTCCTCAATTTGCTATGAAGAAAGAAAAAAAAAAAAAAAAGGAAATCTAGCTAGGTGCAGTAGCACACACTTATAATCTCAGTGACTCAAAAAACTGCTGAGATGGAGAATCACAAGTTCAAGGCCAGCCTCCTTGGCAACTTAACAAGATCCTGTCTCAAAATAAAAAATGAAGAGACTGTGGATGAACCTCAGTGATGGAGTTTTCCTCCACACCCTGCCTTAGATGTGCAAGTACCAGGAAAGCACTGAGCACAGTCCAGGCTGCCACTTCTCACCCCCTGGCACCTGGTATCTTGTGCTTTCAAGGGCCCAGCCTCTGGGCCTCCCTGAAAAGCTGGAACTGTGGCATCAGCCACTCTGCCTCCCAGCTCCTGCCACTCTACTCAGATGCAGGTCACTGTATCCCCTACACCTCTGCTTCCTGGTGCGACATGGCTACTGAAAATACAGCTCCTGTCTTCACAGCAGGGTTCTTACAAGGATTAAATCAGAGAATCAGAGCAAAAGTGCTTGTAAGTAGAAGCTCTCTATTATTGTCATCTTTGTCATCAGTCCCTTCAATTGTACTTATTTATTATACTGTTTGAGTCATTACTTGACTAGAACTTCCTGGGTTGGGTTTTCTTTTCTTTCTTTCTATCTACCTACCTACCTTTCTTTCTCTCACCTTCCTCCTCTCTCTCTCCCCCTTTCTTTCTTTCTTTCTTTCCTGTGCTGGGGACAGAGCCCAGGGAATCACACATTCTAAGCAAGTACTCTACCGCTGAGCCACATCCTCAGCCCTGCATCTGATTTTTCCCCGTTTTGGCATTACTGGCAATTGAACACGTGAGCCTGGGCTTTCTACATCTTTGTCATATGAAACCTAACACAAAGCAGATTCTCAATAATTCTTTTAAAATAATTCATAGGAGATGTGGTTAGAGTTCAGTGGTAGAGTACCCACCTAGCATGTACAAGGCTCTAGGTTTGATCCCCAGCACAAATGGAAAAAAAAAAAGGAGGAGAAGGAAGAGGAGAGAGAAGGAGGAATGAATGAATAAATAGAGGATTATAGCAGTAGGGAAAATTCATTAGTATCCTGTATAGGAATATTTGAATCCTATGAATATTCATTATTTATTTATTGTTTGTTTTTACTATTTATTTTTCAGTTGTAGTTGAATACAATACCTTTATTTTATTTACTTATTTTATGTGGTACTGATGATCGAACCCAGGGCCTCGCACATGCTAGGCAAGTGCTCTACTGCTGAGTCACAACCCCAGCCCTGAATATTCCTTATTTAAATTGCCAATGCTGAGAATGATATTGGCCAAATTATATTGTTACATTGTGTGAATATATATCAATATGTAACCACAAATCCCATCAATGTAGAAAAAATAAAAATAATCACTCAAAAATAAATAAATTGTGAATGCTGTGAGAAACACACACACTAAAATATATATATAATATATATATATATATCACCCCCCCACACACACACATAATGGTATGTGTGTATATTATGAACATATATATTTTTCCCACCACATGGATCAAGCACTAGACAGAGAAAGAGGCTCAATATAGACCATGCTTAAAATACAAAGAGAATTCATCACCAGAAATAGAAAGCTAAGTAATCAGAAAATGTTCCTTTTTTCTTTTTTAACTGTTCTTTTGGGGTTTAACCCTGACATGTTGAGCTTCCCATTCTTTCTTTAGTCAATAATGGGGTTTAGTGATGCCCCTTGAAAAAAAGGATGCCAGTTCTGTTCTATAAATACTTTAAAAATCACCAACCAAAACCCCAAAGCCTGAGAATTAGAGGGCTTTTCCTGATAATAAGGAGATGGCCAAGCTGGGGCAGCTTTGGCAAGCAGGGGAGATGGGAAAAGACATTTTACTGGGCCACTGGTAGCATTTGTATTTCAAACATATCCTACCTCCTTGTCGCTGTATGAGATGTTTCGGATTTCATTCCACGGGAAGGAGATCTTGGGGGTCAGCCTGTTCTCAGGGTCATAGATGTGAAGTCCCAGAGCATCTACTCCAAGCAGCAACTCTGTGCCCTTTTTATTCTGTAGAGTCAATAAAGAGAGGCCACTGTCAACTCCAGCTCAAGATTTTATTCAACTTTCTTAAACCTAGCACACACTGTTACAGCTGACAAGTTTCAACAGGTCCCAACAGAAATCACAGCTGTCTTATAACCCAGGAGGCTTTCAGCTTCCAGGATTGGGGCAGGCAGAGGTACAACTATACCATTGTGACTTATATATCTCCCACAAAGGTCACTAGGAGCTCCTATCATTGGCTCAATGGCTAAAGGAGGGGCAATCTAAGTGTTACTGCCTCTAATTAATAACCAGATTATCATAGATGTAGAATTAAAACCTGTAGATTTGGGGCTGGGGATGTAGCTCAATGGCAGGATGAGTACTGAGCATAAGTGAAGGCCTTTGTTTGTTTGAAAACACCGCCAGAATCCCCCCAAACCCAAGAACATACAAACAATCAAAACCTGTAAGTTTAAATATTTCCCATGTTAAAGAAACAGGTTGGCCAGATGTAGGGGCACATGCCTATAATCCCAGCAACTCAGGAGGCTGAGGTAGGAGGACCAAAACTTTAGAGACCAGCCTCAGCAACTTAGCAAGGCTCTAAACAATTTAGTGAGATCCTGTCTCAAAATAAAAAATAAAAAGGGATGTGGCTCAGTGGTTAAGCACCCCTGGGCTCTATCCTCAGGACCAAAAAGAAAGAATAGACTGTTGGATTACTGGAAAATTTTATATGTCAGGACTAGATGGTCTCATTTTAGGTTACATTCAGTCTCAATGTAGTCTTACTGTACTCAAAGCTGATAAAATGTTAATTGTAGAAACTCGTTAGTGAGTATATCTGGGTATTTCCTCTATGTTCGAACTATTTAATAATTAAATGTTAGAAATAAATGTCTGATGAATTATATATAAATTAATTAAATTTAATATATATGTGTGTGTGATACTGAAATGTCATGCTACTTCATATACTAAACAAGTATCTAAAGAGTATTCCATTATAAAGCAAAGTTTTAAAAGTTTCATTAATTTTATTTCTTTAAATTTTTGGATCAATAAGCTATTTAAAAATTTAATTGGCTGTTTGTATGTTATACCTCTGTCAGCCATCCCGGTCAGCAGTCCAGAAAGCCGGGAGCAAGTGTCCTGGGCCCCGCATCACTGACTCGGCTACGGATCTGTCAGCCACGTCCTCAAGGACAGGCTCACCTGCCAGCACCATGGTCCAGCTCTTGTCTGGCAGAAGAAAGAAACTCCCCACACAAGGACACTATAGCTCCTGACACCATGCTGACAACAAGGAAATTGAACCAAGACTCAAGGGTAGGAAACAGATCTGCAAACTGAGAAGGTGCTTGGACTGTGACAAGAAGTACCAATCTAACAGCAGGTGTCAGATGGAGAAGCGAGTGCTCTAAGATAAATCTCTTTACTCCTTCTAACACCTGAAGTTAGGCGCTATCACCAAGCTATGAGAGAGTCTCCTGTTTGTCTGCAAAGCTTTTAAAATAACTGTGTTAACAAAAATGAGGCTCTGTACTCTTACATCTATAGCACATTTTGGAAAATGAGATATTCCATTATGTTTCTGATTATTAAGTTTAAATAAAAAAATAAATAAACAGATTTTGCCCGCTGCCTCCTATCATCATGACTCTGACACTTCTATACATTAAATGAGAGATGGGAACACAAGCAGCTCCTTTTAAATTGTTTTTATCACACAGTATCCCACTATATTATAATTTTTTATGTTTTATATATCAGTTAAAAATAAATTTTAATTTTAAAAAATTATTTTAAGCATATATCTTCCTTAGTTAATGATGAAATTTAGGAACTCTAACAGTAAAACCTCTAAAATAATTTTTAACCTGGTCTATTGATCAATACAAGAAATGTACATACTCAATAGTATACATTAGCCTGACTAATGTAGACATAGTACCTGATAAGAAACTGTTTTTTGAGGATTATAAAATCCTAGTTTAAAGAATCTAGGTGGTAGGCACATGGGACAAGAGTAGCTGTGTTGACAAAACCACAGTGTTCTGTTAAATTAATTTGACCTTAAAAAAGGCAGGGGTGGGGCTGGGGTTGTGGCTCAGCAGTAGAGAGATTGTGTAGCACATGCGGGGCCCAGGGTTTGATCCTCGATACCACATAAAAATAAAACAAAGGTATTGTGTCCAGATATTTCTAAAAAATAGATATTAAAATAAAAAAAGGCTGGGGGCTTGGGTTGTAGCTCAGTGGTAGAGTACTTGCCTGGCATGTGTAAGGCGCTGGGTTTGATTCTCAGCACCGCATATAAATAAATAAAAATAAAGATCCATTGACAATCAACAAAATACATTAAAATAAAAAAACAGGGCTAGAATTGTAGCTCAGTGGTAAAGTGCTTACTTAGCATTGTGAGGAACTGGGTTTGATCCTCAGTACCATATAAAAATAAATAATAAATAAAGGTATTGTATGCATCTACAACTAAAAATATTTTTTAAAATATTTTTAGTTGTAAATGGAGCTTATGTTTTATTTATTTATGTATATGTGGTGCTAAGGATTGAACCTCAGGGCCTCACACATGCCATGCAAGTGTTCTACCACTGAGCCACAACTCAGCCCCTAAAAATACTTTTTTAAATGAAGAAACCAAACAATTAGCAAATAATAATTAATGAAATTTTAAAAAGCATATTCTAGGCACCTGTTTAGTATATGAAATAGCATATTTTAGGCACCTGTTTTGTATATGAAATAGCATAACATTTCAGTGAGCTTATTTGTTATGCAAAATAATCCATCAAAACCTGTATTTAGAAGATAAATAAAGTAAAAAGCTACTCTAGAATACTAAAAATGTTTTAATTCACCCAAGTTTAGTACAAATGTTGTAGGAACTTGCAAAGAGGAAAGCAAAGCATAACTGTAGTCATAAAGGTAAACCACTGTGGCAGATGTTTTTTAACATCTACTCATCTACCAGTCGTGAAATGCCTGGACACATCACATGTATTCCTTTGGAAGAAGCTCGGATACACTGCGTCTGCCACCCAAACCCACCCACAGGAGAAAGGCAGGCTAAAAGGCCAGACTTTGGCTGTACACAAAGGCCTCTCTCTGAAGAAGCAATGGGTTCCCAGAGGAGGGTAGATCATTAATGTCTGAATAGAAAAAATAATTAGCTTCATAGAACAAGAGTCCCACCCAAACAAATCAGTAATCTATAAAAGTCGCTTCACTCTCAGTGGGCCTTGGGGAAAGAGTATTTCCGGGTGCTCTCTGGATCTCACAGAGCTTGAAATAATCAAATGTTACACTCCCAGCATTCCAACAGGCTTCTGCTAGGAAGCAAAGCAAAGGCCCAAGTCCCCTAAGGCTCCACAGCCACTTAATTACCTATGATCTAATCTGAAGTCCAAAAATAGAAAATCAAGCTCTAAGACCCTTTCCCTTTGTCTTTTATTCTTTACCACTGAACCACAAAAGACTACCACCCTGGGATACAGAAGTAACCCGTTTTGACCATCTGGCCCTGGTTCAGCATCTATTTGCTAGCCAGGGAACTCAGGAAGTTCAACACACCCGAATTGCAAAGTAGTTCACACCATACATCTCCAGGTCCTGAGCTATCTTCAAGTACTCCATTTCAGCTTCATCCCTGTGAGGAGAATAGAAGACACTGTCACTGGAGCTAAGAGGCAAGGGTAGAGGGCAGGTACCCGCCAAGCTGAGCATTCTGAATCTGCCACTTCCCTGGACCCATACTGGCAACCCTGAGTCTATTAAACACAGCAGAATTTCTCATCCCAGTAAAAACAGGAAAACAGATTCATTATGCTGTCTCTTGGCTTCAATTTCACACTTTGACCTTGGTAAACTGTGACATTTGTCTCAAGTGATTCACGTAAAGTACATGGGGGCTAGGGATGTAGCTTGGTGGTAGAGCACTTGCTTAGCATGCACAGAGCCCTGGCTTCAATTCCCAGCATGTCAAAAAAAGAGAAATACATAGTAGGTTATCTTCTATCCTTAAATGGGTCTGGATATTTAAATTTTATTTAAGTTGTTGCCTTATCTTTGTGTACTTCCTTAACTTAGAAGGTTTTGGTAATGAACAACTCTTTCTGCAAGCCACCTGACAGCTACTTTCCTGGTTTTATTTCTTGACGTATTGTTGGAGGTTAGGGCAAGAGCTATTGGGACTGTAAAACCCAAGCCAGGTCACCTCCTTCTAAGTTATAAGTCAAATTTAAAGGAAGCTCTTGAAGCAGCAATGACTTGCAGAAAACTCCCAAATAGGTAATGGTATTGAAATATTTTAACTGGAGTCCCTGTGACCTTGTCCTTTTCCCTCTCGCTCTGATCTCAAAATGCTCTCAAATGGATTTTAAAAATTCACCCTGAGAGAACGCCAAGTATTGGCAAGCAGGTGGAGGAACCAGAAATCACACACTCCCGATATAAACTGATACAATTACTTTGGGAAATTGACATTATTGTAACAGCAAAAACCAGGAGACAACCGAACAACCTCAATGTCCTTCAATAGTAGAATAGATAAATAATTTGTGGTGTATTAACACAGTAGTATTCTGCACAGCCATGAAAATGAGAAAATTATTGCCACATGCCACAAGCCCAAATTTTGCAATATGATGCTGAGTAAAAGAAATGAGGAACGAAAAATAGAAACTGATTATATTTATCTAGAGTTTAAAATGGGCAATGCTGGGCTAGGGGTAAAGCTCAGTGACAGGGTGATTTACTAGCATGCAAGAGGCCTTGAATTCAATCCCCAACACTGCAAAAAAATGGGCAATGCAAATCTATGGAGTTAGAAATCAGGGAATCAGTTACTTTGGGGGGAAAAGGAGAGTAGTTATGGGCTATTTCTTCTCGAGGGTAGATGGTGTTTTCACTTTGTGACAATTGATCAGGCAGAATACTTATAATTTGTCTACTTTTCGGTGTTCATATAACATATTTTTAAAAGTAAAAAAAAAAAGGACACATGATAGAAAGCTAATTTAAAGAAGAGATTAAAAAAAATTTAAAGGCTAATGCAAAGACGATCAATTCCTACAGTGACCAGCAGAATGCTAATTTTAACAATATGAATTTTCACCTTTTAGTTTACAAAAATTATAGACTGATAAACTTTGTAAACTAAATAAGTGCTGAGTATAGACTGGAGTGGGCTGACTTGTTACCAACAGGAAAAGCCTTTTGGAAGGGCAATTTGGTGGCACCTTTTAAAACACAAAATGTTCACATCCTTTATCCAGCCATTTCCTTCTCTGAGAATCTATCCTTACACTAATACAATCGTATAACAATATGACCTAGGCACTTCAGAACTTTTTGTAAAGGTGAAAAATCTACAGATACTCCAAATGCCATCAATAGAGGGCTGGATGCAACAGCAGTGTCTATCTATACAATATAAATCTTAAAATTGAACTAAATTACTAATGAATGCATTAGGTCTGTACATCCTGACAGGCAATACATATGCCTCTTGACACCAATGCGCTACAGAAAAGATGCACATGAAACTGAAGACTGACATGACTCTCAGCTCCCCCTTTGTCTTTATATACTTCAGTACCATATTTTGTTCAACAGACCTGTCCTACTTTTGCAGTTCTTTAAGGAAAAAAAAAAAAGACCATAAGAATGTAAACAATTAAGGGACCTTACCTGGCTCGGCCTCGGTGCTCTGCATACCAAGCTGTAATTCTCTCCTCCCACATTTCTGGAGTCATCTGATATAGATTTATTACCTACCCAAAGAGAGAAAAATAAAATCTACACACAGGGCTAGACGTGGTGGTGCAGACCTATACTCCCAATGATGCAGGAGGCTAAGGCAAGAGGGTTACAAGTTCACAGCCAGTCTCAGAAACTTAGCAAGGTCCTAAACAATTTAGTGAGATCCTGTCTCAAAATAAAAAATAAAATGGGCTGGAGATGTAGCTCAGTGCAAAGCATCTCTGGATTCAATCCCCAGTACCAAAAAAAAAAAAAAAAAAAGTAGAAAAATCAGAATCTACAGATAATATGATATAGGGACCGGAAATGTAGTTTATTTATAGTGTGTGCTTAGCATGTACAAGGCCCTAGGTTCCATTTCCAGAACCAAAATAAATATATAAATGAATAAATAGTTTTTAAAGATCTACACACAAAGTAAGTTTGGGTATTTTTGCCATTTTTATAATTATGCATCATTTTTACAAAATAGCAAAGCTATTTTTAAAAAAGCTGCACACAGGGAAGAGTCATATGCAGAAGTAGGTGTGTAAACAAGCAAAATTCAATTGGAGGAACAGCCTGGAAACTGCAGAACTCCTCAGGCCTCAGTGCACGCCAGGGCTGACAGCAGCCCCCCTTTCCTGCCTGGGCTGTGTATCCCAGAGACCACCTCTAACAGTGAAGCAATGCTCACTAATCCTGTGCCTTTGTCTGCATGGAAGCCATCAAAGGACAGGCAAAGGCCAGGAGAGGTGAGAAGCAGACCTTTATTACCCACTGACAGATGAGTGGGGCCATAAAATCAGAAGCAGCCAAAGGGAAGGAGGGCCTGCTTCTGTGGCTAATGAACAAGATGAACAATGCTGAGGATTAAAAATCACAAGGCCCACCCCTACCTCACCTTTATCCACCCCTTGAGGCTGCAAACGGCTTAATTCCCAGAGCTGAACACAAACTGCTCCATACACCTCCCTGGAAATCAGTGCCACTCAATCATCTTTAAATAAATCACCACACTAGAGAAACAGGCCATGCTCATCCCAGCAACACCAAACTAACCTTTGTTTTCTCGTATACTTAACAGAGATGCCATACTCTTTACTCAAGATTTATTCATTACAAAGTATTTAGGAAAATGCGCTTGCCATATACTGCCAACATTTCTTTAAATCATTTGGTTAGCTTTCTTTAAGACCATGTCTCTGCTATGTTTCCCCAAAAAGAAAATTTGATTTCTTACCCTTTTTGGAAGCAATTCTTCTTGGGCCAAAAACCCCCGTTTGTGCACTGAGGGGTCGTAGTCACCATACTGGAAGGAGAAGAAAGGAGAGCAGGTGATTGAGATTCTAAAGACTACTGCCATTTCTGAACAGGGCTCTACTTAGTCTTATTCCCTTCTCCCAGCTCCAGGGAGCAATTCAATTCCGATGACAAGTCAAGATTTCAACCTTGCTAGTTTGTTATCCTTGAATGAAAATACAAAGCTGATTATATCTATGAACACAGTTGCAAAATCCCTCAAGGCGATGGATGGGCCGATGTGCTAATAAGAATCTGACATTTGTATGGAAATGTAGTCATGTTTTCTAACTCTCGAAGAAAGCAGTCACTTCTAAAATGTTAGTTTTTAAATGGAAACAACAAAACACAACTGTGAAAGTTGTGATTAGGAAGGTGTGATAAGAGTCTTACCTACAAATGCTTCTAAGTGGCTGGTAATTGGAGCCAATTGCTAGGTGGGAGCTGGGAATAATGCAGACAATACTTTTAATACCTTTCACTCAAGGCTCAGAAAAATGCTTTGGAAAAATCTGATATTAACACTGTCATTCCTCCTATACAAAGAAACGAGTAAAAGGTTAACTGATGGGCTGGGGTTGTGGCTCAGTGGTAGAGTGCTCGCCAAGCACATGCGAGGCCCTGGGTTCGATCCTCAGCACCACATATAAAATAAATAAAGGAACTGTGTCAACTACAGTTAAAAAATACTTTAAAAAAAAAAAAGGTTAACTGATTTTGCAAAAGCTGCACAGCAAGTCACTACTGGCACTGGAAATAGGTCCTGCATTTTAATTTATTCCTCCAGGGACAATGACTTAGAAATTTGTTCTCTACTTAAAAAAGGAAAAAAGTGTTATTTTCTTTATTAGAAAATTTAAGCCTGATCAGGAAGTCATCAAAAATGAAACAAGGGGGCTGGAGGTGTAGTTGATGGAGTATTTGCCCTGCAGCACGTAGGAGATGCTGGGTTCGATTCTCAGCATCACCTAAAAACAAAACAAAACAAACAAACCTAGAGAGAACCCAGGTTTCTCCCTACTTCTAAAAGGCCCAGAGACATAAAAAGCCCTAACAGTATGGTTCTTTACTAGTATTTCAGAGGTAGCTGCAGAATACAAGTAAGAGGCTAAGCATACTTAAGTTTCACCCCAGCTCTTTCACTTGGTAGCTAGATGACCTTAGAAAATTTTCTCTTCTGTAAAATGGGGATATCTTACAGGACTCTTGTTTAGATTAAATGAAATAATATCTGCAAAGTTTTAAAAACCATCTTTGACACATACAACCAGATGTCAAAGATCTCAGGCCCCTCCAAGACTGTTTTCCTATTGGTCAAAGGAAAACACTGGCCTTGGAGGATCTAGAAGGGAGCTCTGGAGTATTGACACTGTGGTTTTAAGTAAGGTGCCCTCTCTCCAAACCTAGCTTCCTTATCTGTAAAGCAATGGGTGTAAAAGCACCTAGCAATGAGGGTGAAGTAAAGCAATACAGGTAAGCCTTTAGCCCAGTGCCTGGCTCCTGGTGGAAGTCAGCTATGATTATTATTTAGGTTATCACCAGTCACTGTTTGCCTCCCAGTTTTTGAAGGCATCTGATGCCAAAGAAAGCCCTATTAGTTGCATTTCCAAACCTCTCAATAATGCCCACCAAACTTGAATGCAAAAGTAAGCAGATATGCAAAGTTAAAGTTGTAAATTCAGGTTCTTGCAAGATTAACGGTCCCCATTATTAAATTATACTAAGCTCCCAGCTACTCCACTGATCAAATATATTACAGCTGAGCAATGCAGAGGTAGCAAAGACTGCTGCAAGAACTACTCCACTGGACTAACTCCACTCACAACATTAAAGCCACCTTGATGTATGTGCCTGCTCTTAAATGTCTCTTTAAAAAACAAAGGGGAAAAAATCCTGAAATTGTAGCAGTGGTGAATATAAAAAAGTCATATCACTCTATGGATGGAGATGGCAATTCCTCATCCTTTTATGTAACAGATGCATTCTGATAATATATCCAGGGTGAATTTACTGTGAGGGTAAGAAGTTGAGATTTCAGCTCTCTGTACCTGCATGGCCCTCTGCCTAATTTTAAGAGTCATGATTTGGTATTCTTTATTAAAGAAAAGTCCCTAAATTATATAAACTTCAGGTCTACAATACCTGGATCTACACCTGATATAAAATAATTGAATTTAAATTCAAGAAGGGAGCACACCATTTAAAGGACTCTTGGGGTCTTTAACTATTTTTTTTTTCCTTTTTGTGGTGCTGGAGATCAAACCCAGGGCTTCACACATGCTAGGCAAGCACTCTGCCAATGAGCTTCATCCCCAGCCCCTATAGTCTTAAGTGGGATTCTTTATGGATATTAAATGATTTCCTATATGTATGTAAAATCAGGTTGTTGTAGGGACAGATGAGGCAGGGTACCGAAGATAGCAGGAAACAGTTTTATTTGGCTGCAGTCAGGTTCAGAGGGCACAGCTTTCTCTGTAATCAATTAGTCCCCTGAACCCCAAGTTCAGTAGTTTCAGAATTTTATACCCAGCATGTAAGGGGAGGGGCTCAGAAGTTCACAATCTGCAGAAGTTCACATTCACTATTCTGGGCAAGTTAACCCTTCAAAGACAACACCTGAGAAGGGGAGAGCTAGACAAAATGGACAAAAGATCAATACCCTTTTTTTTCTCCCCCTGCCAGCTGTTATGGAGCCCAACTGGTAACTTCGCTTATCTTAGAAATGTTGGCATCTTTGTGAAGCTCCAGCTCAAGGCCAGAGGCCTTGCTAAAGGATCTTTTTTTTTTTTTTAAATCACATTTTGCATTTGCAAACAACTTCTTACAAACTACTATCCTGGATAAATGTTTGTGAAAAACAGGTAAAGGGGCGTTCAGCAGTTGGAGTGCTGATTTCTTCCAGGCCAGTGGCCAAATAAAATGGAGCAATAGGAAAATTAGGAAGTTTACCTACACTGAACTCTTTTGTAGAGACTCTTTTGCTGATAGTCCTAAAATCAATTATAGTAAAGATTTCTGGAGAAGTTTAGTTAAGATTTTCTGTGGAGGAGGGGGTGCCACTACAAGGTTGAATATTCTGACCAGGATTTCACAATAAAGATTTGCTTAAGGAATATATAGAAAAATGGATCCCTATCACTAAAAGTCACTAAATTCCAGATGGATTAAAGACTTAAACCTATAAATGAAAATCCATAAAAACATCAGAACAAAATAGAGAACATGTGGATAATAATGGTTGGTGAAATCATTCTATGTGACTCTAAACAACAACAAAGGACTGACAAGCATGACATGTAAAAATAGACAAAAGGTTGATACCTGCAACAGATGGTGCTTCAATAAATCAATCAGAAAAAGATAATCAATACAGTAGAAAAAGGTACAAGTCATAAACAGTTGATTCACAAATAAAAGAAACACAAATGGTCAGTAAATCTATGAAAAGATTATCAACCCAGATGACAATCGAGGAAGTACAAATTTTTTAAAATCTATTTTTCTTTCAGGCTTAGTGGTGCACTCCTGTACTCCTAGCACCTCAGAAGGCTGAGGCAAGAGGATCACAATTCAAAGCCAGTTTTAGCAACTTAATGAGACTCTGTCTCAAAACAAAGAATAATTTTAAAAAGATGAGTGGGGGGCTGGGGATATATAGCTCAGTTGGTACAGTGCTTGCCTCATATGCACAAGGCCCTGGGTTCAATCCGCAGCACCACAGCTGGGGTGGGCAGGGAATGTCACTCAGTGATAGAGCACCCCTAGGTTCAATTCCTAGTACCACATTTAAAAAAAAAAAATCTAGTTTCCTATCAGATTAGCAAAAATTTAAAAGACTGATAGCATTTACTATTGGAAAGGATGTGCAAAAACAGGTCATCTGATGCACTATTGCTGAAAGTATTCTTTCAGAGAGTAAGTTGAAATTTGAAGTTTTTAAAATTTTTATCTATATCTATTTGAAATTTTTGAAATACAATGTACATACATAAAATTTACAATTTTAAGTGAATGATTCAATGGTTTTTAGTATATTCAGAATGCTGTGTAACATTCACTAATTCCAGAACATTACCATCACCTCAAAACAGAAATCCCATACCCACTAGCAGTAATTCCTAAATTTCTAACTCCTCCCGCCCCCTACAACCACTAAATCTACTTTCTGTCTCTGTGGATTTGCTTAGTATAGACATTTCATTTAAATGAAGTCATATGATATGTGGCCTTTTTGTTGGGCTTCTTTAACTTAGCCTTACTTAAATTTTAAATGTTCTTATCCTTCAACTCGGTTGTGTCATTTTTTTTTGGTATTTATCATAACAGAATATAAGTAATATATGCCCAAAGGGGAAAAATACAAGGATGTTCACTGCACCTGTTTAAATAAATAAATAAATAAATAACAAAACAAAAAAACCCACAAAGATACCTTTAAATAATCCACAGTTCCTCCCTTCCATGATATACTGTACAGTAGGTAAAAAATAAGGCAAGGGCTTTGGCTGTGGCTCAGTGGAAGAGCACTCACCTAACATGTGTGAGGCACTGGGTTCAATTCTCAGCATCACATAAAAATAAATAAATTAAATAAAGGCATTGTGTTCAACTAAAAAAGAATAGGCAGGTCTATCTGTTCTGACATTTTTAAATGAAAAGGATGTGATGTGTAGGAGCCACGTATTGCATGATTTCATTTATATGAAATGCCCAGAACAGGCAAGTTCACAGGGACACAAAAGCAGATTAGCAGTTGTCAGGGTACAGGGGTGGGAGCAGAGGGGTTAGGGGAACCTGCTACTGGCCGTGGGATTTCTTCTGGGGGTGATGGAAACATTCTGGAATTAGGCATTACTAATAATATCAAACACCTTTTTATTGTATTTATGGGCCATTCTTTCTTTTCTATAAGACCCCTATTCACATGCTTCATGCCCACTTTTTCCTATAAACTTAAGACTTCTTTGTATTTAGATAGACTTTTCTATTGTCAATTCTATTAAATTCTACTTCTAGAAATTTGCCTTAAAGGGGGGAAAAAAACTTTTGTGCATGCATATGAGGAACAATGTAGGAAGATTTTCAGCAAAGCACTGTTTATAATAGGGTAAAAGTAGAAATAATCTACCTCTTCTCGGGGGATGTAAATAAACCATGTTTATTTACGAATGGTACCAAATAGCAGTTCAAATCAAGGAGCTACACCTACACATACAACATGGATACATCTCAAAATCCAGGCTGAATGGGGACAATATATCAATTTGTAAAAGGATATGCAGAGTATAGCACCACTTAACAACTTTTACCTCCTACGTATTTTTAAATCAATCTCTTCCTATCCAACCAACCATCGCCCACTTTAATTCAATCTCACTGTCAATACTGGGAAATTTAGGCTCTGTCAAATCCTTCACAGGCTCTGAGGCACCCACAGGATAAGATTAAGACCTTTTATGATCTGTTCCTCTAGAGATAACTCCAGCCTCAATCTATGCCAGTCTCTACCTATACTCAGTGTTCTAACTGACTTGCATTTTGGCACTAATCATATTAAAGAGAAAAAGGAAAATTAAGCCTCCTCTCCTACCATTCTTTTCTTCCTTCAGAATGTGAAAAGTCTGCATATAGCACCAGAAGCCTTATAAATCACATACCATTCTCTTCCAAAGTCATTTTTAATTAGGACATATTTCAAACCCTAAATTATCAATATAAAATCCAACAGGTGTTTTAAACATTGCAAGATGGTGGTGTCCGGTGACTAGACCAAAGAAATCCTTCCCATACTTTTGACTCCAGCCTAACTCAACTCCAACCAAGAAATATGGTTCTTGTTAACTGAACCATGTGATTAATATTTGTATTCATACCTTGAGAGGAATTGTTTCTTTATGCTTTAGAATCAACTGTGTCTATATCATTTGAACAGCTGAAATACTATAATGAATACATTTGTGCATAATTACATTCCATGTGTTAATGAGTTCAGTTCACTTTCCCCTCCATACTTCGAAAGTTCCTTTCTGCTTCAGAAAGGTTGTGAAAGAAAACAAGCTGCATACTGGGGAACCAGTATGACTTACTGAAAAGCTTGGACTACCTTTGATCACATAAATGAAACTACAATTAGTGAAAGGCAATGTCTGATCTCCATAGACCTTCCTCTCACTAGACAGTGAGGGACAAGAGCAAAGTGCTAATTCAGGCAGCTGGAACACCAAGGTCCCCAACCCAGCTCCTCTCGGCTTAAAATCCTTTCCATTAAGAAATGGGCAATAGCCAAGCACGGTGGCGCATGCTATAATCCCAGCGGCTTGGGAGGCTGATGCAGAAGGATCATGAGTTCAAAGCCAGCCTCAGCAAAAGCGAGATACTAAGCAACTCAGTGAGACCCTGTCTCTAAATAAAATACAAAATAGGGCTTGGGGATTTGGCTCAGTGGTTGAGTTCTCCTGAGTTCAATCCCTGGTGTCCCTCCCCGCCAAAAAAGAAATGGGTATAGGACTGGGGTGTAGCTAAGTGGTAGAGTGCTTGCCTAGCATACACAATGCCTGGGGTTCAATCCCCAGCACTGCAAAAAAAAAGAAGCAGCAGCAATGCAACAACAAACAAAAGAAAGAGAAAAATAGATGGGCTATACCCTCTGTAAAACAGAAGTAACTTAAAAGTATTGTGACTTTGAACAAGTCATCGATATTTTCCGAGCCTTAAATTCTTCATCAGCAAAACAGGCACAATACTCTCTAGCTTGGCTTCCAGAAAAGACTACATTGAGTAACTTGCAAAATATTCTTGTTACAGCACTTTGGCAAATGCCATAAGCCAGGCATGGTGGCACACGCATATAATCCCAGCTATTCTGGAAGCTGAAGCAGAAGGATCACAAGTTTGAGGTCAGCTTGGTCAACTTAATGATACCCTGTCTCAAAAAAATTAGAAGGACTTTTTTGTAGCCCAAAATGAAAAATAAAGAGTAGCCCTGGGTTCAATCCTCAGTACCACAAATAAACAAACAGAACAACAACAACAAAAAGCCAAGTATGAACATGTAAAGTCTTATTAATATTATAATCAGATATATCTCCTTTTAATATTAAGCAGCTCCTAGAAACTGGAAGCATGCTACAGTGAGAATTTCCCCAGTGCAGATTTAAGCCATAGATTACCTTTATTTGTAAGATCCTTAAAATTTACACCGGAAAAAATAGTTAGAACATCCTCCTCCATATGAACCACATATGCTGTCTGTGAATCACTTTCATCTCCAAATTAGTAGAATCCAAATTAGTAGGGCTTTCCTACAGTGAAATCTGTTTAAGCAAACATCTGCTGGTTCCCAGAAAAGTGATTTCCACCCCCCCCCACACAGGTAGCCTTTGAATTTGTGGCCTAAAATCCATACTAAGAAAATATAGCCTTTGTGACCAAGGTAGTGTTCTTGAAAGCTTGGGTCTTCCCTAAACTAGAGCAAAAATGTGCAAAAAAAGAACTCCACTCTGGGCCAGGCAGTGCCCAGATTTAATGAAAGTGACAATGACTGCTTCATCACTGTTGGGGCGATACTGATTGAAAGGACACATTTTTCCTGTTACTAATATTCTTGATCAAAGCATAAAAGGAAGCATATGTTTTAGTTGAATCAAGGCCCATTTTCTGTTTTCTCAATTACTCATTTTTCAGAGAAGTGGAATAGGGGAGGCACAAAATGCAATCCCAAAGCCATGAATTCTGTCCTTAGCATTACCCAAGATTGCATGAATGACCTTGGGCAAATCACAGAGGGCAGATAGTGCTTCAGCGCCTACATCTTTAACCGTCAACAAACCCCCTCCCTCAGGCCTGGTGAATGCTCAGCAAATATTCCACGAGTCATCATATGATGAAGCTGTGTTTCTATTGGTGTGATCATCAAGACAACGTACAGCCTTCCCCCACTCACCCACTCAAATGACAGACCAGTTACTTCCTGGCTTTGATATGAAATTGTACCAAGCTACCCAAAAAAAGTTAGCGAAGAAGAATGTCATATTGATTTTTCTAACACAACAGGGGTGGCTTTACAGATACCTGTAATGAAAAAGGAAAATAACTGAAAAGATTATGCTTTACAATCGCAAGTCATCAGTGTCTGAGGACATCTTATACTTCAGTGAAAGGCAGGAAGCTGGGAGACTAGGAGAAGGTGGTATGTGAGTGAAATGGGAAATCTGAGGGACATGAAGTACCCTGGGCTAACCCTCTTGTTGGTCTTAAAAAAATAGAACGGAGGGCTGGGGATGTAGCTCAAGTGATAACGTGCTTGCCTGGCACACGCGGAGCACTGGATTCGATCCTCAGCAACACATAAAAATAAAAAAAATAAAGATGTTGTGTCCACCAAAAACTAAAAAAATAAATATTAAAAATTTCTCTCTCTCTCTTTAAAAAAAAAAAGAATAGAAGGGACAAAAACCCAAGATGGGCCAGGGTTGTGGCTCAGTGGCAGAGCAGTTAGAAGATTAAAAAGACACACCACATGTGAGGCATTGGGTTCGATCCTCAGCAGCACATAAAAATAAATAAGATAAAGGTGTTGTGACCATCTACAACTAAAAAATAACATTAAAACAAAACAACAGGGGCTGGGGTTGTGGCTCAGCGGTAAAGCACTCACCTAGCATGTACAAGGCCCTGGGTTCGATCCTTAGCACCACATAAAAATAAATAAACAAAATAAAGGTATTGTGTCCAATTAAGAAATAAATATTTAAAAAAAAAAAAAGAAAAGAAAGGAAACACAAACTTGGTGATGTTCCTCTCCAATCCCTCCTGATCTGTAGTGAGTGAATGAAAGTGAATGATTTTCAGCTAGCTGGACAGCTCCACAGGCAGAGGCTAGCCACACAATCAGTGCGAATGCCCCTGAGAGATGAAGGAGGCAGGGCTGTGTCTGAAGGTGTGGTGGGGTGCCTCCACATAGGACAGCTGGCTTTTAGAAGATGGAGGGAGAATCTGGGCTCTTTTGACCTAAAGGCCACATTTGGTCATAACTAGAGATTGTAAATTCATTTTTCCTGGTTAATAAATAGAGGTTGGTGTGGTGAATGTAATGACCCACATGTGCATAATGAAATTTCACAGAAAATTTATCTTTCTGAATGAATTCCCATAGAATGAATTTTATTTCATTAGAAGGATATACTTATCATTTGTACATACAAACACACATATGCCCACATACAGAAATTAGGACAGTGACAATGGATTCCCTAATCCACAAGTCTTAGGACATCTCACTTCCTAGGACAAGTCTTTGTTGAGAAAATCCAAAGAACCAGAATATAGAAGCCATCCTGTGACACAAGTTAATGTCCAGGAAGTTGCATTTTTCTTCTTTGAGCCTACCTTGGCCTGGACAGCATAAGAAGCCAGGAGCACAGAAGCCTCAGGAGGGCAGTAGATCTTTTCCTCTAAAATCTGCTTCTTCACCTAAAAGGGGCAATGAGGGAGACATGAGACTGTGCACAAGGAAGTGAGTCGCGCAGGCTGGTCACAGCAGATGGCTGCAGGGTGTTCTAAATGAGGGCTGTCAAGGCAGCCTGTTAATGATTTTCTGACAAAGGGGACAATTTTTTTTTTTTTTAACTGCTGCAGACCACTTGAGAGTTCAGTCACTGAGAAGTTACTGCTAAGATGGCTACACATAAAACCCCCCTCATCTTGGACTGGGGGGTGCGGCTCAGTGGTAGAACACTTGCCTAGCAATGGGTTTGATTCCCAACACTGTAAAAATAAATAAATAAATAAACAACACTCATCTCTTCAAGATCAAGGCTGATGAGTAAATGTGATCTTCATGGTTATTACAGAGACTGACCTGGCTGTGGCAGAGAGGTGTGAACTAGAGAAGTGTCAGGAGCCCTCTGAGGATGACTACAGCCTAGGTCCCTGCTGAGCACTCAGAGCATGGAGGAAATGAAGTCTACTTTTAAGTCTAAAGACAAAAGCTACCAAGGCAATGAGTTATGACCGCAGAAAAAAACATCACTTTCAATGTGCTGCTCTAAGGAAAAAGGAAGCAATAAAATTTGATCGATTCAACACTTTTAAGTACACGTGAGGTTCAGGAAATATAATTCCTAAGCCATAGTGTTGAATTAACATATTTCATTGCACTTAATTTCTTGGAATGGTGCAGTGTATGATCCTGACATAGAGGCAAGAAAACTGCATGATGCGGAGCACACTAAAATAAACACAAAAGAAAAGCCAACTCTTTTTACAGATGTCAACAGTCACCAGATTCATAAAAGTAGTAAAATTTGCCTTGTTCTGTTACAAAAACACCCTAACATTTCAATGAAGGAAAATCAAACTAAAGTCATACGAGGGATAGATTCTGCTTTCAAGCACTTACAGGAATGCCATTTCTATAACACTAAGACATTCAGGGACCTTGAGGTCTTTATGTGGCTTCATTCACACAAAGAAATTCTTTCCAGGTTTTAAAACTCATTTTATATTCTTACAGAGAAAATGAAACCTGAGCTGTTTTGAAGCAGTGCAACTTTTCAAATCCTTGGATTCTTTTCAAAGGAAAAGGAAAAAGAAGTCACACTACAGAAAAACTGAAAGGGCTATCTTTTGACTTGAAAATACTGGAAAGAAATCTGACACATACTCTGTGTGTGTGCGTGTGTGTGTGTGTGTGTGTGTGTGTACGTGTTTGTGTGCATGCGCACATGCACATGAGAGGAACTTTTGGTAAAAGAAATTATTTAGGGGGCTTATTACATTTCACTTAATATTTACCAAACACAATATTCTGAGGCTCAAATTAATTACAAGGATGCTGTGACACACCACATGTCTACTTCTGGAGAAATCATGTAATTAACAACCTTGCTGCAATCTTAACGTCACTGACAGTGGGCACCTTCGGTCACACAGGCAGCCCTGGTGCCAATCACTGCAACTAGCCACAAAATCAGGGAGGTGCTCTGGCCACAAGTAAGCACACAGGCAAAACTGACAAGGTTTCCATCATCCTCTAATTCCCTTCCCCATCCCCCTAGAGGGTCAATAACCTATAATTATGCATCTCCTAATTTCTTCAATTTGGATGAGTGATTACTTAGGAATGCCTACTGAACACTTGATGACTTTTGCTTTTAAGGGGCTTACACTCCAACAAGGAAGCAAAGGAGCAAGCAGATAATTAAAGAACAAGATAGCATGAAGCAGAAAGCTGGAAGTATCACAGGCACGAGACAAATCAAGCATCACCAGCATTTTGAAGTTCTGTCTTAATGAGATCAGATTTTGAACTAGAGAAGAACTACTGCTTTATAAGCCTCTCTCTTTAGACTTTCTTTGCACTTTCAAGTTAGCTTGAAGCAAACAAGACCCATCTTCTGGGAGGTTTTAGGTTAGGCAGCTGCTTCTATCCATGCTTCATCATCACACCTTTGCAATTTCATCTGACACCAATTCTCATCGCTCAGGTATAGTTCTATTTTGAAGATTTTTTTCCATTACAGACCCAAAGGGACTGACGCTCTAGAGGCAGAACATTTTTGCAATGTGGAGGCGTTTGTGGTCAACTCTGAGAGGTTCACTCAGGATGCCTCTGCAACCACAGAGAGGGCACGGGGGGGGGGTATTCTCTCAGAATTTAGGGGGTAGCACGGGCTGATGTACCTGCAAGAAGAATAAGTGTTGTGTGATCTCCTGAACCAGCTCCTCCTCAGCATTCTCAGGATAAAATTTGGCCAGGAAGTGAAAGGTGACCGGCTCCTCCTTTGAAACATCATGATCCAGCACCTGCAGAATTGAAAAGCAGAAGACACACGTATTGTGTCAGCCCCTCTTCTTCCTGTGCTACCAAAGAACTTTTTGCAGAGAGAGTATATAATTTTTTCCGTTAATTTCTTCATATTTCTCACAAGTGTTGATTCCCCAGCTGGAAGCATTCACAGAGCCATCCACATGAGGTAATACCTTCCTCACACAGGGTTTCTGAACCAAACTAATCCATACCCTAAAAGGTGAGTGAAGTTAAGATGAAGGTTCAAATGTTCTCGAAGCCACAGGAAAAAACCTAGAAATATAATTCAAAGGTCTTGGCCACTGTCTTTTATGGGAGACTGAAATGTTTTTACATTTTTCTGAAGTAGTGAAATGTCCCTTTGTTCTTTTTCCTTATTGCCTACCTACATAACGTAGATCCAATTGGAATACACCTTAGAGATGATGAACTAGATTTTTGTGACACCATTTAAATGTTAACTGAACAACAGAAGTGAAACGTGTCCACAAAACAATCCTTTGTTTCTAGGACCCTCCAGAGATACCCCACAAAATGCTTGCAGTGTAGTCAGTAAGCCACTGCCTTTAATCTTCTAACAATTCCATCCACCCCCTGAAAAGCTTGAACCATCTGCTCTCCAGAGTGAATTTCATTTCAGGACATAAACATGCCATGTGACAGGCTACCAGGCTCCATTAACATGTGTCATAATTTATTTCCTTTGAGCAGCGGTTCCATGGCTCCTGATGCCCTCAATCTAATATCCGTTTGGCCAACACTCAGGTATGATTTAAAATTCACTTTGCTGAGAATCATAAAAACATATGGAAAGTTTTGCTGTCTATGACACATAACTCTCCTTACTCCTGCCCAAATTATAGGGGACAGTGGCCAGTAACTCAAAATCAACCTGATCTAGGATACCCTCACTGACATTGGCACTTCACAGAACTCAGATCATGAAGAATAACCATTTGAAATTTACAACCAGCAGGGATTTCAATGTGAAGACTTGAGATTACCCTGAACATATATAAACACAATTTGAACACTTCAGCTTAGGATCACACTGGTAAAAGACAGGAGGCTTTCATTATTTATCATAACATGAAGTATGTAATAACTTCAGGCAGGCAATTGCAAAGGGTACCAATTAGGGCAAGAATTAGCCACTGACTTATTTAAAGATTCAGGTGTCTTTTTAGGAGTGACAGACAAAAGCACATGGTCCTGTTCCCCAATCATCTTCATAGTTAGGTGGGCAGGTAAATATATAAGTGTGTCTTTATGTGAACATATGAGCCCATGCAGAGGGCAGTTCCTCTAGGCAATATCCATTTTCAAGCCATTTTAAAATTAGTAGGAGCCCAGACTGCACGTGCCCCAGAGAATCCCAAGAACAAATGGGCATTGTTCCTTCACCACAGGCACAGGCGCGTCCTTTATTCCTTGGATCACATTAATGATTAATTCAAGTTGGGCCATGGTGTTCTTAAAAAGACTTAAAAATTCCCTTAAGAACATGAGCCCCAAGAGAATCTTTCAAAGACAATAATCGTTGTTTTTTTTTTTAAGTATAAGATAGTAGTCATTTTTATTCATAAAGCCTGCCTCCTGGCTCAATAAATTGAAGGGCATAAAGCTGGAAGCAATCGGGCTGGGGATAACAAGCAAAGAAGCCAGGACTTGTAAGGGTTGAACCCCAGTGAACTCCACTTGCCTAGGACAGGCTGGGAAAGGGTAGGGCACAGCACTGCTGGGACCTGGTCTCTGCACCACTCAGTTCAGGAACTTGACCCCCTTTCTACCATGTAGCCATGAAGTCCTGATGATGAACAAATAAGCTAAGCATTTGCTCAGGGTAAAACCCAGAAAGCACACATCTGCCCCACTGATTTTGTGCAGTTCCAAGCCCAACCTTCTTGTCCATTTTGAGCCAGGCCACGGTGTCCTTGATTGTGTACTGTAGTCCAAAAAACCAGGTTTCCCGCAGCCCCAGAGTCCGGCACACCAAATCAAACAGGTCCTTCCCTTTCCATTTCACCTGCAATATAACAAACCAACAGGGAAGGATGTTGTGAGCAAGAATCATAACCTACTCGCCTACAAAACGGTTCTCTGCACTCTCTACTGATACTAAGATGGCTGATGAGCATTGAATTCCTAAATAATTTTAAAGCTTCCCACACAAAACCATGAGTGGGAAAATACCAATTAGAGCTTAATGGCTTAATCACTGCAGAGCATACACAATACCTCCCTTGGACACTTCCTTACAAATCTTAATATCCCCAAAGCTGCTAATTTAGGAAACCTGGTAAATAAGCATCCTCATTTAGGAGAGCTGAGCCTCCTGAGTTAACCCAGGGAGATGGCCAGCATCTGAGACATCAATTCCCTTGAGATTTTGTTGTTGCTTTTTAAAAAATCATTCTGCGATTTGATAAAAGACTAGTGGTGTGTGTGTGTGTGTGTGTGTGTGTGTGTGTGTGTGTTTAACTTAAATATTGGTTTTACTAGAAGTTTTTTAAATATAGGGGAGGAAGTTGCAATCAAAGTCATACATAAATCAGGGAAAAAAAGAACCATGAGAGATCAGGCAATCCAATCACAGGTTTCCTATCATAGATGCTCAACTGGACTAAAGGCAAAGTAACTAACTCATCCATAGTCAACAGAGCAATTTCAAACTCTTGGTATCTGAGCCTAGATGACAGACACCCATATACTATGGCGTGTTTACCCTAGAGACTCACTTTCAAAAGAACCTGAGCTGGACACAGTGGCATATGCTTGTAATCTAAGCAGCTTGGGAGGCTGAGACAGAAGGATCCTTGAGTTCAAAGCCAGACTCAGCAAAAGCGAGGCACTAAGTAACTCAGTGAGACCTTGTGTCTAAATAAAATACAAAATAGAGCTTGGGGATTTGGGGATGTAGCTCAGTGGTTGAGTGCTCCTGAGTTAAAAAAAAAATAAAAAAACACCTGAAACAACAGCTGCTAACCCCTTTTCTCAGCTAGTCAGTCAATCGTAGCTGGAAAAACAAATTCAATATCTGAATAGGGGAAAAGAATGTCTAGCAGCTTAGTGAATGTTGCCACCTAGTGGCTTTGCCATTAAGTCTCCCAGGATATTCCCATACTACCCCCTCAGCTACCACTTGCCAGATTCCTGCCCCATCACCTCCCAAGTTATCAGTTGAACACAGAAATACACGCTTAGTTGCAGGTATGAACACCTGAGGCACATCACAGAAACAGCAGTCATAGAGTAATCCTGAGACTCAAATGCAAGGTCGCCAAACATGGAAAGAATGAGACCACTTGATTGCAAAAGCCTCGGAACTTCTACCCTCATTGGAAATCTCCAAAGTCCTGGCACACAGAAGATGCATGATGAAAAAGGAATGGGAAACATGTAGATTTTAGAGACTTATTAGAAAAAAGAAAAAAACAAGAAGGAAAAAATATCTGATTAACTTTTTGCTAAAACCTAGTTCCACAGGGGAGTTTTCAAGTAGGATTTCTGTTTTTAATAGCTGTGAATGAGGGCTGGGGTTGTGGCTCAGTGGTAGAGCACTTGCCTAGCATGCATGAGGCACAGCATTTAATCCTCAACACCATATAAAAATAAAATAAAAAATTGTGTCCACCTACAACTAAAATATAAATGTTTAAAAAAATAGCTGTGAATGAATGGTGGGTTCCCCACAGGTACTCAAAAGGAGAGGCCATCTCTTCTCTGTGTTACATTCCAGCCTTCCAAGTTAACAACCCAGATGGAAGATACCAAGACCACAGCAGACAAGTGCTTGAGTTGCAGTGGGCTTTTCTTTCTCTCTCTCTTTCTCTCTCTCTCTCTCTTTCTTTCTTTCGCACGGGAGGGCTGGGGAGGATACTGGGGATTGAAATCAGGAGCACTGAACCACTGAGCCACACCCCAGCCCTATTTGTAATTTATTTAGAGAGAGTTGCTTAGCGCCTCGCTGTTGCTGAGGCTGGCTTTGAACTCGTGATCCTCCTGCCTTAGCCTCCCGAGCCACTGGGATTACGGGCATGCCCCACTGCATCCAGCTAATTTTGTTCTTCACTAGGGCTTTTTTTTCCTGTCTTTCTCTGACTATAGTAGAGTCCCTGGTATACAACAAAGATTATTAAGATTAACAAAGTCCTTAGAGATTATTTTGAATAAAATAAATAAAATCACAAGTTTGATTTTTAAAAGATTATAGTCTTTCCCCATTTATAATGCTGAACAATGGCCACACCCATTGCCCCATCTGACAACTGGACAAAGGGTTTTTAATTCACAGCAGGTTTTAATTCCTACAGGCAGACTTCACTGAAGAAACATTTTGGAAAACTGGAAGCTTCAGGATGCCGATTATCCTCTTGTCTCTATTTTAAGCAGCACACAGTATATAAATTATAAATGCCTACTTTGCTACAAGATAATGTACCACTAAAGTGCAGGCATTAATGTGGAGAAGTTAAACACCCATGGGCCAAGAGGATCAAGGTAATGATTCCCAACGTGCCTTTACTTACAGCCACAGCCAGGGCTGGGTTTTGGCACGAAGGGGCTGTCTGCAAGTGGGATGAGCAATGCACTGGAAGAAAAGCTGCCAAGGGAAGATGAGTGAATTTCCCAACTTGGGAGTTTAAATCCTCAACATAATATCATATTAATGCAGTTTTCCTGCATTCCCTTCTACTTCTTTGTTTTTTGTTTCTTTTGTTTTTGTTTATTTTTAATTTTTTCTTAATTGTAGATGGACACAATATCTTTTTTTTAAATTTTGTTTTCATTTGTATGTGGTGCCAGGGATCAAAACCAGTGTCTCACTCATGCTAGGCAAGCGCTGTACCACTGAGCCACAACCCTGCCCCCTACTTCAGCCCCTACTTCTTAGTTTTTAAAATACAAAACTATCTTTGTTGAATGCAAAAACAATGTCTTTGACCCCATGAAGCTTGCAATAAAGTGAGGAGGAGGGAAAGAATTTTCATAACAATTCAGAATGCCCTACTTAGGGGGGTTTCCTACTTATATTTTTAACTTTGGTGTGAAGAATCTCAGACTGTCAGGGTTGAAAATGAGCCTGAGTAATTAACTATCACAGACCCAGCCCCTTTTGTACAAATAAGGGAACTGAGCCACAGATTATTTGGCAGGCTGACAAAAGCAGACCCTGGCCTTTTTCACGGTGACTCAAAGTAGGCAAACCCCCAGTCCCTCGAGCACCTCTTTCCCTATTCTGTGGTCCTCCTTTCTTCTTGCTTTCCACCTTGTTCAGAAAGTGACCAGTGTCTGAAATGACACCCATTCTCAGAAGACTCAAATGTGGCTCATCTACAGCTTCATGTGAATTAAGTCCCCTGGTTACTCTCATTTATTTTTACAGTTAGTACTGCAGAGCACATGGCTATGTGCCAGCACTGTTGGACATCGGGACTACAAAACGATGCAAGCAGGATGCATGCAAGAGAAGCAGGGGAGAACTCAGGTCCGAGAAGACTTAAAGAACAAGCGAGAGTTCATGAGGTAGAGAAGGAAATACACCTCTTTAAAAAAATCATAATTGTGCTGGGCGCGGTGCACACACCTATAATGCCAATGACTCCCAATGAGGCTGAGGCAGGAGGATTGTAAGTTCAAAGCCAGTCTCAGCAAAAGTGAAGTGCCAAGCTAGTCAATGAGACCCTGTCTCTGAATAAAATACAAAACAGGGCGGGGATGTGGCTCAGTGGTTGAGTGCCCCTGAGTTCAATTCCTGTGCCCCTCCACCCCAAAAAATCATGATTGCTACAGGAAACTGCAAGTCATTTGCTGGAGCTGAAACCAACAGCCAGGCTCTGGAGGAGGCATGGTGGAAATAGTACTTAATGCCCAACCAGGTGACTTGACTTCAGCCAAATTCCATAGAGGCTTTGAGGACTTGGGCAGAGGAGTGACAGGGTCAGATCTGCATTCTGGATATGTTCTGACAACAGGAGAGAGAATTAGTTGGAGGAAGGAGCCTAAATCAAGAAGGACAGAGCGAAAGCCATTCCTACAATGGAAAAGGTGGTGGGAGGGAGAAAAGACAGCCTGAGAAATGGAAAGCGAGCAGTCATAGAACTGGTGCCTGAACGGGGACCAAAGGAGAAAGAATCAAGAGGGACACCTGCATTTCTAGCTCAAGCACCAGATGGTTCCACTAAAGGAGAGATGGAATACAAGAGAAACAGCAAATTTGGGAAAACAGATGAGCAATTAAGTTTTAGACAAGATAAATTAAGCTGCCTGAAGAAACCAGGAAGAGATGCCTTAAATAAATTTGATTTAAAGCCTCCATTTATAAAATAACATGTTTGAGGCTGAGGCGGGAAGATTTTTTGAACCCAGGAGTTCAAGGTCAGCCTCGGAAACATAGTAAGACCCTGTCCACCCTCCCCCCAGAGTAATAAAATAGAAAGTTCTGTCTTTAAGCAATTAAATTTTCTTATGGTCTGGAGTTGTAGCTCATGGTAGAGCATTTGAATAGCATGCACTAGGCTGAGATTTAATCCCTACCAAGGACAAGGACATGGAGGAAAAGTTGTTTTCTGTTTGGCTAAATCTAACCTCAACATGTTATTACCTACCCAAAGTTGTTTTTGGTTTTTGTTTTGGTTTGGTTTGGTTTTGGTACCAGGGATTGAACCTAGGGGTGCTTACCTGCTGAGCTACATCCTCAGCCCTTTTTATTTTGAAACAGGGTCTCACTAAGTTACTTAGAGCCTTGCTAAATTGCTGAGGCTGGCTTTGAACTTGCAATTCTCCTATCTCAGACTCCCAAATCGCTGGGATTACAGATAAGCACCACCATACCGGGCTGATGTTGTACTTTTCAATATGCCCTTCCCCAAATGTCTGAGGCTTGCTCAGTCTTCCTGATTTGAGTCTCCAGTTCTTTACAGACAAAAGCTGTTGGTCATAGATACTGTAGGTTTTCAGGATCCTTGAGAAGGGAGGTATTTGGTTATGAATGGTTATGAATGATGTGGGCTGACTTGACAGAAC